TTCATAATTTCATTTAATTTTGAGCTCAAAATTTGTGCACATCCTGTTGCAATAAAATATAATTGGTTTATTGTCTCTTGGCTACTCACTTTAATTAATTTACAATATGTTGCGCACGTGAAAATTTTGTCTTTATCAACCATGCTAACCAAATTAACCAAAGTTCAATTCGAAAATCGATTAAATTGCTACTAAATCAACTAATGACAACTTTTTGTGTGTTCTTTTTATTCTTTGTCTCTTTCCATTCAATTACACATACATCACGCACACTTACACACACCAACACTCATACACGATAACCCGCCACACACGCTTGTCACTTTCGCTGTCTCTATCACTCTCGCTCTCGCTCTCTCTCTCTATATATATCTGTCTCGACATGTCATGTTAACTTTTGTAACGTGTTTTCGTTCCTTAACCAACAATCTAACTAAAATGTCTATGCGTCTGTCACGTAATTATGTTACCAACCCGAAACCGAACCCCCCATGCCACCCCTCCACCAAAATGATGGCAAGCAAAACTTCAACAATTTCAAAAACAAACCACAACGAAACCCACAACTACTGGCAACGGAACCACCACTCGCACCAACACACTGTGCACACTTACAAAAACACCTACAAAAATTTCTACAACGCCTTTAACAAACACCTCCAAACAATTCACAACAATTGAAATCCAATCTACGTAAACCAAATATTTCCAAACCCACGGACACTGCCTCCTATTATTTTAACAACAATTACAACCAAAATTTTAAAATCCCTTATTTTTTTAATAACAACTCAAATATTGTAAAAATTTCCAACACTACTGCAATTCCAACACTTTCACCAACAATTCCAACCTATCACAATTGAATCCCCTCAAATTGCTGGCAAACATCTATCACAAACAAAATCACAAAACCCACAACAACTCCAATGAAATTACAACAATATAATCAACAACAAACACAACAACAGGCTATTGCGCGCGGAATTGTATGCGTTGAGACGCAAGGGTGCGGTTAAGGTCGTTGGTGGAGTGCAGCCACTCGATGCCACACAACAACAACAACAACAACAACAGACAACCATGCAGCCAAATCAACAACAACAACAGCTCGAACAACACAACAACCACAACGCACACACGAGCGACCCGAGCCGCCACTGCGCTCGCTGCACCACCGAACTGGGCCGCATCACGAACCGCGGTGCCCCCTGTCGCGTCTGCAAGCTGCGCGTGTGCAAAGCCTGTCGCGAGTTCACCTCGCGCACCACGGACTGGGTGTGTGTGGTGTGCCACAAGCAAATGTAAGTCTCCACCTGTCTTTCTCTCTCTGTCCCTGTTTCTATCTCTGTCTCTGTGGTCGTCTTTTCCTGCGCCTTTGTCGCTGGCTGTCACTCTATCATCTCAATTCTCTAAATGTAACCCTCAAGCATCCAACTCACGCACACGAAAACCAAGTCACAGAACCAAACACTACTTGGTGTCCTTGTTTCTCTATAGAGTGACTGTCCTTTAATCATGGGGTTCATATTCACTTTAAGGTTGAAATTAATGTACACTCATTAATTAAATATTATCAAAAATGGAGTTTAATCATTAAGATCTAAGCTGCTCTCATTTTATGCATGTTAATTTTAAAGTTAAGACAAATGAAACAAAAAGAAAGCTAACTTCGGCACGCCGAAGTTTATATACCCTTGCAGATAGAACTTCTGTGAATAGGAATCCATACAATATTATTTATATATTTGTGTTAAAAAACAATGAAGTAATACCTGCTTTCATTTCATTCACCTATACATATTATATTTGCAATTTTACAGTCACAGATTTGCATTTTTCTTCTACATCAAACGATCGTTTGTATGGAACCTATATGATATAGTCGTCCGATTTTCATGAAATTTGCCACAAAATTTAAGACTTATATAAAATGGCTATACCTCAAATTTGATGAAAATCAGCTGAAAACTAAAAAAGTTATAAATTTAATTGTATTAATTTCTCGATCGTTCCTATGGGAGCTATATGATATAGTAGTCCGATTTTCATAAAATTGTATAGAAAATTGTAGAGTATAGTAAAATCGCTATATCTCAAATTTGAGCCAATTCTATTGAAAACTGAAAAAGTTAAAATTTTTTTTGTAAAAATTTTCCGATCATTCCTATGGAAGCTATAGGATATAGTCGTCCGATCCGGCCCGTTCCGACATATATACGAGTGAGAGTATATAGAAGGCTAACTACAAAGTTTCATTCAGATAGCTTCAAAACTGAGAGACTAGTTTGCGTAGAAACGGACAGACGGACAGACGGACAGACGGACAGAAGGACAGACGGACAGACGGACATGGCTAGATCGACTCGGCTGTTGATCCTGATCAAGAATATATATACTTTATATAGTCGGAGGTGCCTCCTTCACTGCGTTGCAAACTTCTGACTGAAATTATAATACCCTGCAAGGGTATAAAAAGTTACAGGATCAAAACTTACTTTCTAGTTGAAAATGTTTTCCAAACAAGGTTTTTTATATCTTCAACTTTGTATGTTTTTTAGTGGTTATTTTCAGTTCGTATTTCGCTCGTGGCTTACACTTTTATTTTTCTCTGGTATAGTATTGTTTTTCCATTTCTCTTTTCCTGCACCAGACTTTGTAGTGCCAATTCTGCAATTTCCATGGCTGCAATCTAATTTTGCATGCCTTTTTGGTTACTTCTGTATTGTCGGAATTGTCACCCAAAGCCTGTTGCAGATTTGTCGACAAAGTACGGAATTGCAAGTGCACATGGAATAGTATATAATGGTATCTCCTGCCCAGAAACGGGCTTTGTTTTTTGCACAATGAAAGGTGATAGTGGAACGCTTGTTCTCGACTGAAATGAGTTATACCATTTGTGTTTATTTTTAATTTTTACCCATCGTTGCCAAGCTAGGCATCTGGTATCACAGGCTGTCAACTGATGCTCTTCATAAATGCTGAGGCGGGTTTTTGGTTGCTCAGGCTCTTGGAGTTTTGAATTTTGTGAACTGTTTGTTTAGGGCTCTCTCTATTTTTATGTTTTTGCGTTCCGAACATTTTTGAAATCGCATGCAGTTATTGATTGATTGTTGTCCATGCAAAACGGCTTAAATGCAAATATCATGTGTCCCCCAAATAGATTAAATTGATTCCTGGGAATTCCAGAGCTCTTTCAGAGTTTCCCAGAAGAGCATCCCATAGGTTTGCTATTCAGGGAAGCTCTGATTGAGCATTGAATTTGCAATTATCCGGCTCAAATGCTGCCAGAAACCACCCATCCATCAGAGGGGAAGGGTTCCCGGATGCAGTAACGTCTTCCTTGGACCAACAACAAACTGTAAACAAGTGCTCCGGCCGTTTAATGAGCTGCACTCTGCACCGTCTTCCCCTTTTGATACAACCCATGCATTACACATACGCCCTGTGTGTGTCACCGCAACATCGTACGACTTGAGCTAGTTTGTGCCAACATTTGGCAACCAAACAATTGCCTCTGACGAGACTGGCGACCCACACCCAAGGGTTCAGTGTTAATGGGCAAGCCCAGACTCCAGTCCCAAAAGCAACATCGCATCTGAGAAATGCCCGTATTGAGTGCACAAGGCCAGGCGCACAATGTTGGGTAATTAAATCTTGGCCAACTCGACAACTAGATACTTGCGTATATCAGCAGATATGTAAATCTGCCGGGGCCAAGAATCCGGCAGGTCGCCTACAGGTGCCAGCGATTTCACGCCTGTCAACGCCGGTGACGCACTCCCAATTTGGCCGCGTCTGCTGCAGCTGCCGGATAATTATAATGATGATGGCGATGACGACCACGATTTCGATTACCAATGCGGCCCAGCCCCTCTGTGGCCATCGATGGAAGGCGTCAATGCCTCCAAATGCTGCACTTGGTCTGCGTGCGAGTTGGAATTTATTCAATTTTTTAGTGACTGCGCCCCCAAGATCAGTCTCGAGGTGCACAGTGTCTTTAATTCAAAGAATCATTAACAAGGCAATTATTTCATAATTTTACCAATATCCAGTGACTTCAGATATATTCGTATTGCAAAATTTATTTTAGCATTTATTATTTTAATCAGAATACATATCAAACTGCAAAAGGGAAAATTCTTTGGAATCAGTTGATGATTCTTATTAAGAGTATTAAAGTTGCATAACAAAGTAATAGTATATCATATATCTTACCAGTTAAATGAAATTTGTTTAATGAATAGACTGAAATGGAAGTTCTTCTTAGAACAAAAGTTAACAAATTAAACTTTATTTCAAAATAAGGTATTGAGATCTATATAGTACAGTTCAAGGATTAAGTTAAATTATTTGTTAAACTCGTTAAAGTATTAATTTATTTTATTCAATATCATGTTTAGCATCTTATGGCTTTGTATATTTTTAAGGTGAGAAAAATAGTCCATTTTTGTTGCTTCTCCTTTACCTTTACTTTATATTTAATTTAAAATGCAATTGTTTGATTAAAGTTGGTGTCGGCCTAAAAGTTGAATATATAAATAAGACCAACTTCCGGTTGAAGTTTGACTTATTCATTAAATATTTAATTATTTCTTTTGAGTCTCTGGGCCCCTAACTTTGCCGTTGAGGTTCCGCCGGGAAGGAAAAGTTTTTCTCAAAAAATGTATCTCCAAATTTATGTTTATGTTTATGTAAACCCAAGTCAGTGTGCGTTTGCCGGCTTTAACTCTTCCGATCCACCTTCTGCTGAGACTGGGTAGCTCTGCTCCATCTCGTGTTGGTGTGGCTCCACAGACAATCCGGCATTCAGTCGTATTTTCGAGTAAGTGAGCCAAGACAGTCGGCCGATTGTCTCTGGCACGGGCAGACGTTGAATCCGGTGACTCCGCCGTCGAATTACTTGTTGACTTTCGTCGCCCCGAATACTTTTGTGGCGGCAATGTTTGGCGAAGTTTTCTGGTTCCTAAAGTGGCAATGTTGTTGCTCTTGCAGGGAGATCCAGTCGGCTAGTGGCGATTGGCTAAAGGACGCCTACACCTTGGGATCCTGCACGGCTGTCGACCATCTGACCACCAGCGATGTCCTGAGGAAGAGCATACGTCGTTCTTGGACCATATCAAGTGAGTGGCGCTCCCTTGCCATATGTCATGAGGTATATAAATTTATAATCTTCTGCTGTCTATAGATCCCGAGGACGATCCGAATAATCCCAACTCGCAGCAACCGGTGGCCGACAATCTATATCCGCAGCAGCAGCATCTAATCGAGGCCCAGTCGGCGGGCAGTTATCCCACCCTGCACCAACACCATCAGCAGCATCACCTACCCCAGCAGCCGCGACCCGCTCACGTCGCTGGATACGGTAGTGGCACTGCCACGCCCACCGCCACCAGCCGGTGGCAGCTGGGTCGCCGGGTCCTGCGTCAGTCCACGCTCCCGAGCAGCCTCACCAACGACCCAGCGCTCAGCGGCAGCGGAGCCAATCTGGCCAACTACAACTCGGTGAATCTCACGGCGCCCACGTCGCCGCATCAGCTGCAGAAGAGTCCGCTTTATCCGAGCGCCTACAACAGTGACGACGTCATTCACATGAACACGGTGGCATCCCAGGGAATGGGCGGAGTGGAGGTGACAGTGGGCGACTGCGACAACTACGCACAGCAGCAGCAGCAGCAACAGCCTCAGCAACCCCAGCTGGAGGTCACACCCACGCACCATCGACTGCAGGTGCGCCGTCAGTCCACATTGCCCGCCCAGCCAACGCCGACCATCTACATGTCCACGTCCCCGAACCGGCTGTACAGTCGCTCCCCGGAGCGCTCTCCGGGCGAGCCACAGCGCTATCCACCCTTCATGCGCCAGACCTCGTTTCCGGAGCCGCCAAGCACGTATCATCGCACCAAGCTGCTGCCCTCGGGCTATGAATCTGCGGTGCCGACTAATCCGGCTCCGCCGCTTAACTACGAGTCCCAGGCCTCGAGCCTGGCCAGCGATGAACAGGACGCCGGGCCCATGCCCAAGCCGCGGATGACGCGCCAGGCGACGTTGCCGAATCCCGATCAGCATGTCAAATTGTTGCCCACATCGCCGCCTAAACGCCAGACTTCACCGCAATTCCGCCGATCCCCGGAGTTCATGCGTCAACAGACGCTGCCCAATCCGGAGGCCTTCACCAGCGGCAATACCCTCACCGTGCACGCTGCTCCTCCCGGAAAATTTATGCCCATCTCGCCCAGGGCCAAGCAGAACTTCCTCTTTCCCAGCGTACAGAATCCCCGGCAGTTCCTTTCGCAGCCCCATGTGCCCGCGGCGGGGACCACGGAGCTGGGCAGCGGCGGTAGTGTGGCCAGTGCCAGCGGCACCGGTCCCGGCGAACAGTACTCCAGCAGCCAGAGTGTGAACATTCACCACTCGCGGGATCCGCATGCCAAGATGATCAAGGTGCGTAGTCACAGCAACGAGGAGTACTCGAACACAAAGGGACATCCAGAGAACCGGAGGCTGCTGCCGGAGATTCCCACCACGGCGGTGCAGAGATCCGCTAGCCGCTCGCCCAGCCGCTTGGTTCGGCAGGATTGCCTCAAGGAGGAGAGGACCTTCGGGGAGGCAAAGCAGCAGTTCCACCAGTTCCCCGACGTCACCGAGGAACTGGAGAACCGGCCGGAGTACGTGGATTACTTTGGGGACAGTGCCACCAGCTTTTTGGAGTCCGATGAGATGCAATACGAGCGGAACTACAATGCGGGCTTCAGCAGTGAGCCTCGCATCATCTACAACAATGGCTCCGACGATGGATCAGGCTACCAGGCCGCCTCCCAGAGGCCCATTTACAGTGCTGAAAATGTCCTGGCGGACTCCGGCTACGGTGGAGGAGGCGTGGGTCTTGGAACCACTGTGGGGTCAGGTGGAATGCCTGGATATTACCCGGATATGGGAACCCCGCAGAACTTCTACGGTGGCGCCGCCTTGCCCCGCACCCCGCTGATGCACAATCGTATGCGGCGACGCCAGTCTCGGGAACTGCAGATGCAGCAAGAGGAGCTGGCCCAGCTCTCACAGACCACGGATGTCACTGTTGAACCAGTTGCCCCATCAGGCGGAAGTGCCTCTGACGGTCATGCCACCGAGCGGCGGAAGCCGGAGCAAATGCGCTCTGTTTCCGAGGACTCTGGAGCCAAAACCACACCAAAGCCGGTCACCCGACGCTCCTTTTCCCATCCCGAAAAGGACACACAGGTGAGTGGACCTAATTTAAGATTTGAAATCAAGAAATATGACATAAAATATCATTTTTAAAATTAAGATTTGTACAAATTCTTAAAGAGCCATCTCTCTTTGTTTATTGCTCATATAGCCCCAGCAAAAGAAGACGGAGGCTTCGAAGATTCCCAGCCCGCGTCCACTGGCCGACATTCTGGACAAGACGCGTGGAAACTCCAAGATACCGCAGGCGCGTCGCCGTAATAGCCGCACTGGGATCGGTGAGGCCGAGGAGGGTGAGTCACGTAGGAGCTTTAGTTCCGGCAGTAAAAGTAGATATGGTTGCTTTCTGCGCCCACGCATCTGAAGAGTCCAGGGACCGCAATTATTACCAGCTCCGGCTGGAACACCCTTCATTCATCCCCACCAGAAATGATACACTACATGGTCACTTCATTCTCAGACTCAAACTGAACATGTAACCAACAAATGTAGCTTGTAGTTTAATTGTACAAAACATTACTTGCACCTGCTAATTAGTTAGTAATTTAACCAGATTTAATTTCTTTAAATCACTCAGTATTGTTCTTTGCATATGATTATTTTGAATTTAACATTCTTTAGTTGCATTTTTTACGCTTAAAACCATTAAATTACATTTAAAATTACTATTTTAACAGTGAATACAAAATTGTAAACCTTATGAATGAATTTTTAAACGGTTCCACACAATTCTTAATGAAGTTATGATACTATTAATTTATCTTAAATATAAAAATATATTTATAGGAGAAGTATATATTCATAAATATGAAATGCAACGCATTTTTCAATACTATTGATGATACTTAATCCTGAAATAATCAGTTTATTATTTTATACTTGCCTCTTATGGGGATTCAGTGATACCTTCAATAATTAAAAGTCGCAAACGTCATAATACCATAATCTTTAAACAACAACCATTTAGCGTTAAACATCAACATTGAGATTAGTTGAAATTGAAATTGAAACCCTATTTACAAAGTGTAGTTATTGACCACCCAATCCAAGTAAATATTTATGTAGTTCCCGCCTGCGCATTAATACTTGCGTGTTAATAGTTGATTTATTAATTAATTCTTGCGGTCCCTGCTCGGTAGAACCTTGAGTAGCTGCGCTTGCTCCGGCACCCGATTGATGAACGCTTTGCACCTTCCTCTCCCCCCGTTAACCGCCCCCACAGGTAGCACGCCCCAGCACATTTACTCCTTCCATCAACAGCTTATGCATAGAAACTCTGATTTAGCCATGCGCCTCAAAAAAACAGAACTTCCTGTCGCCACAGTAGCAGCCAGCGGTCAGCAGGACGAGAGTCCGCCTCCAAATGCGAATAATTCCCAGGGGTCAGAGCAGCCGGTCAACGGCAAATCCCTGGAATCCACGGCCAACGCCGATGACGCAGCGGTGAGTAGTGGGTGGACCATCAATGAACCAGCGAACAAGTAGGCTTAACTCATTGGGTTTCCTTCCAGGGAGCCGGCGCCCACACCAGCACCTTGGGCGAGCAGGAGCTGCAGAATGCAGTGGAGGCGGCTGCCGTGGTCTTTAAGAAAGTGGTCCTGCAACGTCGCAAGGAGAAGGAAAAGGAGAAGGCCGCCGAAGAAGGTAAGTGACAAGAACATTTATTCCCCCCTACAAATACACTGAGCAATAAGGTCAAGAGACTCTCAGATTCCTGGTAAATTATTCTCAGAATATATCGAGTTTACTCTTGAATCTAAGGCTCTGGATATTGTCTCAGTGTAGTATCTATGTATTTGCCTGTCTCTGTGCAACTAAGTATATGTTTGGAAGCGTAATTAACTTGGTGATGGTAACGCTAATGCCCCTACTGATGCTAATGTTGATGGTGATGGAGGGTGGCAGCAATGCCAATGGCCGCCTGTGCCACTAACAAACTCTTTGTGAAGGGCTTCGTCTTCCGTCTAATTTCGCTCAATTAATTAAGCTCCTTCTGGGGACTCCTGAAGGTGGCTGATTCTTGAGTTTTGCCTGTCATTGTCAGACGGTGACTGTGTTACCTTAAGAAGCCCTGCACTATATTGAGTTTAAAGGAGAAGGAAATACAACAAAGAAATGGTAATTATGCGGGAAAAGTTATAAAACAAAAGATAAGAAAGATACTTAAAAAAACGTAAATTTATAAATGTAATTCAATCCAATAAATACTTAACTATACTTTAATAACATAAGTATCTTAGATCATTCAATGCATTCTTCCTTGCTTTGCAAAAGCTTAATTCATTCGTTTAAATTATAATAAACACCTAAGCAGCTTTCCTAGAACACAAATTTAGCCAAATATACTGTCACTTTTCAGCTTATTAGAGTATCTGTCAGTTTCGGGGACAGGACAATTCCTGGTGAAAATTCCTCCCCCTTGAAATTCCCTGGTCAGCGGCTTCATCAAGAATGCAACACTTTCTGTCGTCAGCAATTTCAGCTAGTTCCGAAAAGTATGCAATCAATTCTCGCCTGATTCAAAGCAGACTTTCCATATTCCCCTCCGCAATTGGAGTTAAATTTTTACCCCAAAGCCATTGGCTGCGGACCCACGACCACAAGCGACCAACAAAAATTTAAGAGCAAAGTTGGCGCTTTGCTTCAAAAGATTTTGGGTCTCCGACACCGTCAGAAAACCCAGCCTTGGGCGGGCGGGATACGTTTTTTTGTTTTTCTTTTTTCGGCAACTCATAAATCGATTTCCACTTCGCCCACCCACTCGACAAGTTTGAGAGTTTTCACGAGGATTTTACCCGGCGGTTAGAGCTGGCGTTTTCGCTACGGCCGGCTTTTGTTATGTTTCAATTTGGCGATTTGCGGCATTCCTGCTTTGCGACCGTCAACGCAGCGTGTGTCTATGAGTTTTCCGGATCTCGGCCCACGTCGTCCTTGCATATCCACCGCCTCCACAGAGCATCCCAAAACGAAAGCTACGCCCACCAGAATTTTCGGCCGAACGACATGGAACGCACCGTCGGGGGACTGTCAAAAGTGTAGCGTTAATCTTATCTCGCGCACCTTTTGTGCTGCGATGATGTGGGCTCTGGGCCTGGGAATCGCAGAAACTGCTTATGGGAAAGGACGTGAGTCTGGCGCGGGGAAAGCCCTGCTCAAATGTTTACCTTGTGGCTGCCAGGGATTGACTCTGTGTGCATGCATTCACCGCCAGCAGCTTGTGTGCACTTTTTGTTTGTGCATTTTGGGGCAGGACATGGCCGACATGTTACCGAAACTCTAAAAGCTTTTCCACAAACTCAAGCTAGTCCTTGTCATGCCATGAAGGAATGAAAAACATTCTGACAGAGACTCATAATCAATCAAGAATCTTTGAACTGGTTCTAGACGGGATTGGTGGTGAAGCATGAGTTATGTAGAAATGATTTTCGGGATATTCAATTTTGATCCGAATGAAAGGGCTAAAGCTGAGATGAACTTGACTTGTATTACTTTCAAAAAGGAGAATCTGTTAGTTGTTTATATTGGTAGAATGTTATTGTTTTCTAAGGGTTTTTCGCGGGTTTTCTTATTATCATGATTGCCCGATGCATCTAGGTTCTGGTTAAGCACCTGCCTATTGTATTCAATGGCATTTTATTAAGAAGTAAATATACCTAAGATATACACACTGGCTTACTTATGTTACATCTACATATTGGAAGTTTACAATGTTGTAAACATTATATCAGCTTTTAGCTCTTGGAAAACGATTGGATTCAAAACATCTCCACTCAGTTATGAGTATATCAAATATCTGGTGAATATTTATGGATATATCGCTTTCGTTTCGCTATCAAAGCAATTCTATCGGGTGTACTATGGGCCTAAACTCAATTAACATTGCCTAGATAACATTTCTCCAATTGGGGTTGATAAAGCCACAGACTACTTACTGGGACTGATAAATATCTCACCAAACACCCTGTTCTGGTGCCTATTTGTAGCTTGTTGTTTCTATTTATATCTTTGGTGTTCACCGTGCCAAAACCATCCAAGCTTAACCCATGTTAGCTGTAAGTTTTCGTGCATCCATCCATCCACCACCACCCGTAACTCGTAACCCGTAACACATCTGTAAGCGACTAACTAACATTGGTGCTGGGAGAACTCACCCCCGGGACAACCGGTATTTCACCTGCGTGTGTGTGTCCAAGTAACCAGTATTTCCGTGGTGTTGGCTGCCTCTGAACCCCGACGACGGCTCTAACTTCCCGCAAACGATACTCCACAGACGGCGCAGAGCAGCAGCTGTCCGCGATTTCCGGTGATATGGGATCGGGAGGAGGAGGAGGCGCAGGGTGCGATGCCATGGAAACGTCATCGTCATCGGAGCTGGACTTCAGGTGTTCCACACAGCACGGACGCCAGCAGCAGCAGTCGCAGTACAGCGTCGAAGCTGACGAGTTCAAGCTCGTCTTCCTCAACTCGGATTCATCCTCGTCCTGTCACGGCGAAGAGGAGGAGGAGGAGGAGGAACAGGATGACTCTGACTCCTCCTGTTCCACGCACCACTGCCACAGCATTGTGAGCAATGTGGAGGACTGCGATTGGGATTACTTTGAGCCCTCGATGATCTCCACGACCACAACCACCACAACCACTACCATGATTGCCTATTCGACCGCCCGGGCCACCCCGCCTCCGCCGCCCCGAGTGCGTCAGTGCCAATCCAGCGACAGTGACTCCCCACTTGTCCAGCGTCGTCCGCCAGGACTGAGAAACAGTTACTGCTCCCGCATCCGGGAGAGCGACACAGGCACCGACGAGGAGTTCGTACTAAACACCGAGAGCAGTTCGCAGACCAGCTCCGACCAGACGCCGCCACCAGTGCCGCCGCCTCCGCATCCACTCAGTATGAAGACCAGGATTAAGACCAGGTTCCTAAAGAACCATCACAACCATAATCACAGTCGATGCAGCTGCAATCCCAGCCAGCAGCAGACGCAGCAATTGCCACCACAGCCGCAGTATGTACCGATACCCGTGCCCGTGCCCATTCCCGTGCCTATGGCGGCCTATCCCAACTGGGCGGAGATGCATGGCCCCGGGAATCCCCTCCTCGAGCAGGACGATCAGCTGGCCGCCTCGTTGCAGCAACTCTGGCAGGCGGCCGGCCAGCAGCAGCAATTCGCAGCCATAGTGGCGGCCTATTCGCAACAATTTGCGGCGGCGGCGTCCAGCAACAACATGTTCGATGCAACGCCGCCGGTCTCCACCAGAAGCTGCCAGCAGCTGCCCACCACACCACCGCCACTGATGCCGCTAATGCCGCAGCGCCTGCGCGGCCTAGGCGGCTTCAAGTCGTCTGCCCCGGAGCTAAGTGCCTCGCTGGGATCACTGATGACACAGTCGCTGTGCTCCTCCATGCACTCCTCCTCATCATCGTCGACAAGTACCTCGGGCTATGGTACGGCGGGCAGGAGTTTGGAGACGCTGTCCACTAATACCACAAGGGCTGCCAACTCGCTGCAGCAACAGCAACAGCAGCAACAACAGCAGCAGCAGCAGCAGCAACAGCAACAGCTTTACCAACAAATGGCCAGCAATGCTTTCAAGCCAAAGCCAACAAGTTTAGTAGCGTCGCGTTCGCCGTCGAGTGAGCAACAATCCGAAACGAGCAACGCGCGTCGCAGCAGCAGCGGCAACAGTGAGAGCGGGGACGATAGCAGCAACATCCACACCAAGAGGAGCAACACCACAACGCCCACAACTCAGAGATTGTGTAATGTTTATGATAAAACCAGCGAAGGCAACAGTGCCAGCGGCGGCGTCAGCGGCACATTGCCTGTGCCAGCAGAGACACATGTTGCCAGTGTCGCCAGTGATAAGCTGAGCACGCCAGCAACATCCGTCGCCTTCGCCGACGCTCAGAGAGCGGCGAATGCCAGCAAATACCATTCCGAGAGCCGAAATCTATGCGAAACCCGGCCAGCGGCAACAACACAAACCTACCTGGCCAGTAGCGGCAACAGCAACAACCAGAGGAGCAGCCATAGCCACAGCCAAGAAGAAGTGGAAACGAATATACATAAAAATCAAGTACCAGCAGCAGCAGCACAAACTCAGACTCAGTCTCAGACGCAAAGGCAAACACAGGCACAAGCACTAGCAACTCCTGCGGTAATAACTCGTTTCGGCGGACTTGCAGTCGAAAATGTGGCCAGGCCCAAGCCCAAACCGAGGGCCCAGCAGCTAGATCCCATAGAGCAGCACAAAGCTGCCAAGAATTTGTCCTCCAATCGACTTACAGAGAGCAACATGTCCGATGAGGCATCATCACCGGCCGCCGCAGCCGCCTCCGTTATGCATCTGCAGAGCGAGAGCTATGCGGCCAGCAGTCCCGATGAGGCCAGTAGCACCAGCAGCCACGACGAGGAGGAGCAGGCGGTGCAGGCGATGAGACCCCGCAAGGCCACTCAGCGGAGCTACAATGTGGCAGCCGCCATGCAGGCGGACGAGGAGGAAACTGAGGAGCAAGTAGTGGAGCTGGAGCGCCACCACAGCACCACCAGCGATGCCAGCTCCAGTTCCAGCTCGAACTCCAGCTCCAGCTCCGAGTCTTGCGACTCCGATGACACGGGAACCGTGGCCGATCGCCGTCCCAAGCGACGGCGCTTCAACAAGGTGTTTGTGGTCAACCGACAGCCGGGCGCCCGGCGCCAGCGACGCAGCTCCTCCACCGAGGGCGACTCCCTGTCCTCCTCGGAGGCCAATCTAGAGGACTCATCCGATAACGACACTGACACCGAGCGCACCGACTGCGGCATAGTGCTCAACTATGTGAAGCCGCTCGAAGCTGAGGCGGAGGAGGAGCCGAAGGGGCCCGCCGCACGTGATTGCCAATCGAGTGACGACGACGACGACGATGATGAAAGTGAACGCCACCGCGTTGCCAACTCAAGCGATGAGCTGGCCAACTGCATTGTGGTGGTGGGCGGCCAGACTGACGACGGCGACGGTGTGGTGCTGCATCGCATGCGATCTCTGCCAGACGCCGAGGCAGAGCCGGAGTTGGAGCAACTAGAGCGCCGCCGTGATGATGTGATGGATGCCTGTGAAGAGCTCCACAGCATCTCGAACGATGTGAATCGGCTGCTGGAGCTGCACAAGCAAAACTCCCAGCTGGAGATGAAGCTGCAGCGCCTGCGCCAAGGAGTGGCCGAAATCAATGAGGACCTGCAGCTGACCACGGGTGCTTCGAGCACTTCTCTGGCTGCCGCCCACTCAGGTAGCAGCGCCTCACCTGGCGGGAAACCCAACGAATGCACGAATGCAACCCCTGCTTCGCGGAAAAGCCTCTCAAGCGTACCAAGTTCTAATGACGACGATGGGATGTCTACCTGTGAGCAGGTAAATGCAAATAGCGATGGCCAGGTAAAGGTACAACAAGCGAAAGAGGAGGCGAAAGAGGAGAAGGAGGAGAAGGAGGAGAAGAACGAGGAGGAGGAGGAGGAGCAAACAGCTGAGCAAACGCAGAGGGTCGGCGCATGCAGCGAAGCATGCAAAATAAACGAAAACAGCGACTACTCGCTGGACTCGCTCTCCACACACGCACACTCCGACCTGGCAGCGAGTAGCGGAGCACCTGAGCCGCTCGAGCAGGTACCACTCCGCTCTCGTCTACCTGTCGCTCGCCGCTCTCAAGCCGATGGCGCAGCCGAAGAGCCCAACCGCTATCGCTCCGAAAACGAAAACGACATCGAATCGGAATCGGAGTCGGAGCCATCGCCAGTCGAACATGAGATGTTAAACGTTGTGGTTGCCCCACGCTCCGCGTTATACGCCGGCAGTAACAATAACAACAACAATAGTAATACTAACGATACCGATACCACGAACAACGAACCTGGCCATAATGACGCTTTCGCAGCACAAAAGACCAACAACAACAGAGGCAGCAGCGGCAACAGCGGCAGTGACGTAGTGCTGGCTACACCTCGTGCATTTGAAAGCGGTGAAAACGACGGCTGCGACTACGACAAGATATTCGGAACCCGCCAGCCAAAGAGTACTCAATCAGCTGGAGCCATGTCTGGAGCTGCATCTTCGCCAGCAGCCACAGCATCCGCCAGCGAACTGGCTTCGCCAAAAAATTCACTTTCAGCCAAGTACCGCAGCCTGGTCATGATCACGAAAGACAACGAAAGTGCAGCTGCAGCAACAAAGGCTGGCGGCGATTACGAAACGACCAACACCAGCGCTAGTACCAACTCCGGCAACAACAAAGCAGGCCCGGGCCCAAACAGCTTTGGCCAGAACCTCACCCATGACTCACTTCGCGCCATGGAACTGCTGAGCAGCGATCGCGACTCGTACAGTGTGGACTCGCTGAATGAGCCCACCATCAGTGGGCAGCCGGAGCTTTGTCTGGAGGATGGCCTGGCCGACGACGACTCCTGGGTGGAGGAGCTGAGCCAGCACGGTGAGGAGGATGAGGATGAGAATCTAAGCAATGCCACCACCACGCCCACAGCCACGGACTCGGAGGATGCCGAAGGTGAGACCGAGAACGGACGGCGGCATGGCTATGTGGATCGAGAGGAGGAGCTGAGGGGCTATAACCGATCGGCCATTGACTTCACCCTGCACACCATCGTCGAGGAGAGTTGCGAGGAGAGCGAGGTGGCCTCCCTGCGGGCGGACAACGAGGACGCCGAGCTGGAAGAGGAGGATCTGGCAGAACGGCGGCGACAGCGGACACTGCAGCACCACCATCGGCTGAGTGCCTCCGAGCTGGAGAAGTACTTCTTCTTTGGCTTGGGTGACGGTCGGGTGATGAGCTCGATCGACACACGGGGCGACGACACCGCCTCGGAGGTGAGTTCCGAGTGCTCGGAGAGCCTGGACTCACTGCCGCACGAAGAGCAGCTGCTGGAGAGTGGCGGCGCCTCTGACCTGGCTTCCTCCCGCCTCGAGAAGTACTTCCTCTCTGGCTTTATGGGCTTCAGTGGAGCCGAGAAGCAAGCGGACAGCGACGAAAGTGGCGGCAGTGTGGGCAGTGACAGTGAAGGTCACCCGAGTCCCAGCCAGCGCCGCAAGCGCCTGGTGCGAGCCAGGGGCACACCCCGCAGCCACAACTCATCGTTGGACAATCTCCTCTTGCCCGAGACGGATCCAATGGATGCCACGGTGACGGCTAATGCTACTAACGCTGCTGTAGAGGACACCTCGGAGTCGGAGGCTGGCTGCGACGACACTGTGATCCATCTGGCCAATGCCGGAGCCTCCGATGGCTCTTCTTCGGACACCATCAAGCGGAAGAAGCAGCTGCGCAAGCGCCACGACTCGTTGGATGAGAAGAAGCTGCATGACCTGGAGCCCTCCGAGTGCCGGACACCCACACCTGGCAGCAGTGGCCAAGTGCAGATGCAGTCCCAAGCCAAGAAGCAACAGCAGCAGCATCACCACAGCCGTGACAGTGGCTTTGTGGGCAGCAATGATGACTTGTTGAAGGCGGCACCGGACTGCGAGCCACCCAAGAGCCCCACCTCAGCATTGGAACAGATCAGTGAGGATCGGGAGCCGGCTGCGTCCCAGATCAGTCTGGCCAAGATGGATCTTCCGAGTACCTCGGCCGCAGCAGCTGCAGCAGCAGCGACATCGGCAGCCGCCTCTCTGGTGCCCAGCCAGAGGAGAAACCTCACCCTGCCCAATCTGGTGCGCAAGGATAGCTTCAACAACTGGAGCTCCGACGAGGAGACCAACCTGATGATGAGCAAGATGCGGCAATTCTTCAAGACCCTGATCGTGGCCACCGCCAATGCGCAGCAGAGCAAGCCCAGCACACCCAACCAGGGTCAGGGACAGAGCAGCAGCACCACGCCCAGCTCCCAGCGGAGGCTGTCCAAATCCCGGCCAGCTCAGTTGGCCTACTTTGAGAACGAGCTGACGCGCCTGATGAAAACCGTTCCGGGCATCAACGACGACCAGGTGCGCGAGATCGTCGAGTACCTGAGCAGCGAGGACACATGGTCGGATTCCTACGATTCCTCGGATTACACCAGCTCCGACCTTGAAGGTGGCGAAAGGAAGGGCCAACTAAAGGCCCAGATCTCGGCCAGCTGCCAGCAGATCATCAACAAGTTCGAGGTGGACGAGGAGGGAGATCGTGGCGATGGCGGACTGCTGGACGAGAGCCAGGCCGTGCCCATGGAGGCGCTGGTCTACCAGAAGCTGGTGGCCTCCTTCAGCAAGGTGGCTGCAGGAGGCGAGCGCGAACCTGCGACGGAAGCAGACAAGGATAAGGTCGAGGAGAAGGAGCAGGCCAGCACAGAGCGGTCGCCGCAACTGTTCGCCAAGGTGATGCAGCACATCGGCACCCGGCTGGTGGCCTTGATGCACGAGGTGAGCAGTGGCAATGAGACGCCGACGCCCTCGCCACAGGGCCAGCGTCACCACCGGCGGCTGCAGGCCAAGATCTCGGCCACCACGACGGAGGACGAGGAAGACGAGGTGGAGGAACAGCTGAGGGCTATGCCCCTGAAGCAGCTGAAGCTGCGCAGCAGATCCCACGATCTATTGCTCGATGGCATCACGCCGCATGTCCATCATTTGCATCACCAGGCCACCGTGCATCATCCAGGAGGAGGTGCAACGGGACAAGGAACAGGAGCAGGAGGATCTTCATCGGGACCCGGACACTCGGACAACGCCGGGGAGGAGTGCGGCATGGCCAGCGACTACGAGAGATTCTCGTGGCGCGGCAGTTTTGAGTCGGCATTACTGGCTAATGGCGACAGCAGAACGAGGCTCAGCCAGCTGAGCCAACTGGACAGGGATAACTCGTCGTCTGCGTCCGCTTTGGCTGTGGCAAAGCGCCGATCGGCAGGCGACCTTCTCTTCAGCCAGCACCAGCAGAGCCTGAGCCGCGAGCAGCTCGACCGTGTCCGCTCCTGCGGCAGCATCGGAGGCGGTGACGCCCATCACCACCAGCTGGAGTCGTCGCCAGCGAAGCCCTGGCTTTCATCGGCGGGCTCCTCGCTCGGCGGTGACTCCACCAAGGATGTGCGGAGATCCAGTGTGCCGGATGCCATCTACGAGACGGACTCCAGCGACGAGTCACCGTCGAATCAGTTTGGAGGAGCCCGCTCCACGCTGCCGCGCAGCCTAAACTCTGGCCAGGTGGTGGCCAGCACCAACTCCCTGCCGCGCCTGCCTACCACTGGTGCGGGTGGTGCACCCATCACCAGCACACCCAAAACGAAGTCGCAGAGCGCCCTCAACTACACTCCCTCCAACTCATCCACCGTCTCGGCCACGGGCAGTGCCAAGAGTGCGCGGTACCGCTCCCCAGGACTGGCCGCTCGAGCAGCGGCTGTCAATGGTGGTGTCAGCGGTGTCAGTGGCGGTGGAGTGGGCAGTGCTGGTGGTGGCAGTGGCTCCACTGGCAAGAAACTAGGCGCGGGCTTCCAGTTCCTCTACTCCAAGCGAGATGCGCGCAAACGTCTCAACATGTCAGCGGGTGAGTTGCTTCCTTCCTTCCATCCCTTCCAGTGTTTACCTTTAGCATACTCCGGGGGGTAGGCCACACCTTGGCCAAAATGGTGGTGGGGATAGTGCGTTCGTTCCGAGCGGGACACGCACACCAAGCAGGCGTTTGAGCTCGGATAACCGGCCATGAAATTGCTTCCTTCCTAATGAAAAATTCCTCACACTAAGTGGCAGTAGGAGGAGGAGGTGGAGGACTCGAAGTCAACATATTTCCTCGTGCCAGTCCCCAGGAATCTGATCCTTAGACGAGTGGGAGACAGATGACCTTAAGGCGAGGCAATGCACTGTTCGAAAATGTATATCTTTTGCAAGATTAAATTGCAAACTTGTCAAACTTTCAAGGGTCACTTGTTAGTCAATTTTTCTATTCTTTCGTAAAGTGAAAAATTCTCGTGCTAAATTATTATGTCAAGAATAGAAAATATTATAAATATTTCTGTGTAAGCAACCCCCTGAAAACCTGTCACCGGCATTTTTCTCCAAGGGGGATAATCGCAGACTACTTTATGCTGATTAGGCTAGGTTCGGGTATCCCAGGAATCCCAACCGTCTTCTTCCTCCGCCTCCTTCCGGATTTCTGCCTCCCGATAATAATGATGTTGTGATGCCAACTCATAGATACTCCATGCGGGACTGAGACATTTGCTTTGCCCGAAATAAACCCAATCAAGGTCAATTAACTGTATCCATATTAAGAGCCCCGCTTCAAGCCAACTGCGGCTCGGTTTTCAGTTGTGGCGTCCAAAGCGATTTTCGCACAGTTGCGCAGTCAGCGATGATGATGATGATGATGTAGAAGTAGTTTTGGATATATACTAGAGGCGCTCTATAGCTCTGTTCCGCTTGGCGTAGGCGTTCTCTATTTATTATTTGGCCAAAAAGCTGTTTTCGCTTTTGTGGCCAGCAATTAAATTCGGCTTGTCTTGGTCAATGGAACTCGAACTCAGCTCTCAAAAAAGCAGCACTGGGTGCAGGCGGGCTTTGAACTTAGCTTTGTCACCTAGAGATGAGGGATACGGGTAGTGTAGGGGAAGAGAGAGGTGACTTTTTGGGGAAGAGGGATGGTTTCCATGAGCTCTAGTTGATGAGGAAGTTTGATGTGGAGGGCACACCTTGATGATGCATGAAAATAACGTACAATGATAATGATAATAGATACAATGAAAATGTCAGACGTTTAGATAAAACCTTTGGAAATATTTTAAATAAATATCTTCGAAATGATAAACTAGGGGAAATGTGTCAGATAATAAAGTATTTAGTTGTTAATTGTTGGGCAAACACACTGAAATAAATGAGTCATCAAAAGATACCAAAATAATGATAAAAGATAGTTTTCTTCAAAAATTTCCATCTTTGCGATAAAATGTTTAAATAACTTTATAGAAAACGGTACAATATAAATATCTTAACAAAATAATGTTTGAATATGAATGCTTAATCTTGATTTTAAAATATGTACTTTCTAAAGAATGAAAGATAGGTAAACAAACAAGTTTGATTGAGGAACTTGCTAAAAAACTTAATTTATAAATAGATTTTTGTTCACACTTGAGAATTACATTTATTGTAATTATTAAAATCATTAAAAAGGAAAAAAATAATTAATCATTGAAAGAGAAATCGTATGGAAACTCAATTCGATGAAATGCCTTTCATGTTTTCCTTTTGATAATTTAGACTTGGCCGTTACGGCAAATTAAACCACAGATAAAGCATTAAAATTAAATTTATTAAACTTTCTTAAGCCTCAAAGAAACCATGTAAAATATGTATTATATTTCCATGGAACGAAGAGAGCTTAGAATTTCCGGTAATTTATCATTATTTGGTTTAGAAATAAATGAGAGAATTTTGGTTAATGGAAAAACAATGTTTCTTTAGCCTTTCGGCTATTTCACGTTGCCATCACTAAATGCCGTGTGTTTGTCTCTTGGCGGCAGGTTGTGTTTGCACAGTTTCTGTTTTCAGCTCTTGGCTCAGTTCAACCAACTCGTTTGTCTTGTGGCCAAAAAACACAATTAAAAAGGTGTCCCCCCTTTCACCCGGGGATCTCCGCACCGCTATTGAACTTCTGTACACTTAATCGCACTCAAGTGCTCTTTCAGGCTACTTCCTGTATGTATTTATGTTATTTAACTTATTCATATTGCGGCATTTAAAATGGAAATATATATAAATGTTCAAGAGGTGACATCGCCATCAGAGGAGGTTCGTTTGCCAATTACCCATTTTCCACATCTATTTTCGTGCATCGCTGCACCGCCGGAGTGCGGAAGTGGTCCGTGTTCCATGTCCACGTCCATTTTCCAGTCCGCCTCCGAGGTCCGTGCCCATCCGGCAGCCGTTTAAGTGTTTTGCACCCAAAACAAAACAAAACAAAGGCAGCGGGGGTCCACGCTGCATGCAATACTCTCGTAATATTGCAGTGAAAAACGATTTCCACAATTATGCAAATCAAATCGAGTTACAATTATCGCTGCTACTGCCCCAAGGCGGAAGCTCCTGAAAGGGGGAATGGGGAATGGGGCAGATCACCCTGGAAGCGACACTTAGTTGCAACCGATCGGAGGGGAGCCAAGATCTTGTGGGACCCCTAATTAAATTAACCTCTCTGCCCGACAACCGAGACGGAATACCCAGAAATGCGAAATGAAATATGTATCTCTACACATACATTCGGCAAATCTCTGATGGGTAGCGAGGAGAGATCTAGGAATATTGGGAATGCAGTTATATACTAATAAAGATAGATACATATATATCTTTTTAGATGGGAAATATGATCAATTCATTGTCAAGGATCATAATTTATAACTACCTAAAACTCCCATGCGTTTAGATTACAAAATAAATCAATAAATGACAAACTTCCCTTAAATGAACTTAATATTTCATAGTATGTTCATATTCACGTTCTTACATTATAGTTAATAATAAGGAAACTGAAAAGAGTTCTAAATACTTCTTAAATGTTTTTTATACTTATATTCCTGTTAATTACAATTTTATATAAATATCATCAAGTGTCATTTAAATTACAAATTAATGAATTTAATTCTAGAAATTGATGGGTAAATTGATCATCCAATCTCTTCTGCATTTCTCCAAGATCAACCCTCCATCGGCAAGTGCTTTTCGTGACTTTGTTAATTGCAATTTCATTGGCTAGGCGCCCCTTTCTTGACCCCAGGGTTCAATATTTGAATAATTGAATAAAACTTAGATTTGGTCGGTCGGTCGCCCTGACCATGTTCGCATGTGGAATTCTGGAACTCTTGGGGTTCTGGCTGTGACACCCATCTGCGGATCAGTTGCCCGGCCTCGCGGAACGGGACTGGATGCGCTCCATACCGCGAAATTCCGACTCCGAATCCGAATCCGATTCCGATCTTGACTCCAACCAACCGATCGTTTCCATAGTGAAAGTGACTTTTATTTTTCTGGGGCTTCGGTATTGGCTTGTTATTTTCTTTCTTTTATATATATAGTATATAGTTTTTAGGGCCTGAGCTGTGGCCTTCCCGCTCACGTTTACCGGGCTTTGTGCTAACCCAGCGGAAATTATAGAAGTGCCATAAAAAAAGCGAAAATGAAATGAGATATTTGTCAACAAATCGTGACTGCATAAAAGAAATTCAAATATAAATTCAAATGCAAACACCTTTAAGAGGCCCTTCGGTGGCGCTGAAATGCCCGTTTTAATGGGATATTCCTTCGTTTAATTGCACATTCGGATCGCTGGGCAATTTTCAACGCTCTGGGTGTAATCTGACCCAGTTTTATCTGTTCGTTGGTTGCTTGGCTGCCCCGATTGTTTGCCGTTCCCTTCGATTTCACACCTTTAATTCGGTCGCTCTTTGCCCCAAGGCTGTGGCAAGTTCAGGGCCGCTTCGCATTTCGACTTAATTAAATTGGCTGTTTTTATGGGCCAGGTGCCAGCTATCTAAGATAAGCGCCCCTTAAGCGGCGACCAAGTGCCTCAATTACGTGTCCAAACAGCCAAAAAAGATTGCTTGTCGCCGGGCCTCTTATCAAAAAGGGCCACTTGCTCAGCGAACAATCAATATCAGTAAATTTTGCACTGATATATCCGATATATCTGACTGATAATAAATATAAAAGCGTGCAAAAATTTCAACAGAACATTTCAGAAATTAATTATTATCAAAGCACAAACTATTTTATCAGCTTGTGCTGAACCTGTTTATGGCAAATAACAAAAAACCAATAAAACGAATACAACGAATACAACTTTGTATCTGTCTTGATCGAGTTGTCAGGGTTAATTTTCTAAGAATTCTAACTCTTGACAAAACTTTCCACGGATGATTTGATAAGTTGTTATCATATAAACAAGAGAAAACCTTCATTTAATATCTATACTCTCCACAAATGAACACAAACTATATTTGAAAAACCAAAAAATATAACAAGCTCTCCCTTTAAGTAAATTAATATATAATTAATTCACGATAGACAGCTATCATTAGGGTTCGTTTTTAGTTTTCACCTATTATATATAGGAAAGAACCTCTTTCAATCTCTTCTAAAAATAACAACAACTTAAACCCCGAAACTAAAACCATATGTTTAGTGAAAGAATTCCCCTCTAATGACTCATCTTGCCAAAATCGAAAGCCCCTCGCAATCTACAACTCAAACCTCTCTAATTGACTCAAAGTGTTGCGGGGGATATTGGGAAATCCATCAGATGACAACTGTCAGTTGGTTGGCGAAACCAACTAAGCCCAAAGTGATACACGACTGCAGATGACACCAAAAATAAAGCGGTCACCAATTAATCTCGCCACCAAAACGCGCAATTGTGAAATGAAAAGTCGAGAAAATGAAGCGAGTGACTCGTTTAATTGGTCCGCAACGCGCGGCAAAATCCAAGTCGAAGTCGAAAGAAGCCGTCGCCGGCAACTATAATGTGTTCGCCTCTGTCTCCGCCAAGAGATCCCCTCCAGCGGCACAGACCGTACAAACTCCTCTAGCTCGGGTGCACAACTATGGCAGAGGCAACTCTTCCAGCCAACTGCCCTCCAGTTCGGCAGGTAAAATCCAGTATGCCGCCTTGAATCGCATGAGGAAAAAGCGATCCGAAGACGGAGGTCAGAAGCTTCGCAGGAAGTCCAAGTGGCGTCGCCTCTTGGGCAAATGTTGGGGAAAGAAGAGACGCCGTCAGAGGAACTACCAAGATTACTGGGGCACTTCGATGGCCAAGTCTAGGGGCAGTCTATTCTCCTGCTGCGGCTGCTGTTGCAGCAGAAAACAATCCCAGCGATACGAATACGATTCCGAGGAGGAGGACGATGACATTGATGCCAAGGTGGCCTCTTACATGCTGGAACTGAAGCAGCGGGAGGCAGTGGCCAGCAGCAAGCAAAGTGAGAACCTGATTGAGGAAACACCCAATCCTGTGCCCCCGGAGCAGCCACATTTGCAGCAGCAGGCAGCCCTCGTTAAGCGACGAGCCTGGACCTGGGACGACAGTCTGAGGTCCAACTCTGACCGATTTTTGGAGACCCTCGAAGAGGATCTTTCGGAATCTGTCGAGGTTGTGGCTGCCAGTGCAAACGGTGCTGCTCCTGGGACCAGGATGTCTTTGATCCTGCACCGTCGCACGCCTCTGCATGTGACCTTTGTGGAAAGTGATGAGCAGGAGGATCAAGAGGAACCTAGGGAACATGAGGAACTGCAACAGGAACGAGCAACGGTGCAAGGTAGGCGGTAACAGCTTCGTCTGCCTGCCACCAAACGCATGCTCCTTGCACCCATGCCCCCAGGTTGCTCTTGCTTCTTAACTGATCTTCCATATGTTGCATCTTACATCTTATAGATCTATAATCTTGTTAGCTTAAGACTCTCCAAAAAAATATATATATCTTATAGAATGAAATGGGGATGAGTAACGATCGTTAGCTAAATATAACCACCAGCATTTGCCATCGATTGGCCATGACGATCATTCATCATCAGCAGCAGAGTACATGGGCCATTAGCCTTAATTGTGGAAAACTCCAGTGCTAATTGATGGATTTTCTTTTCTCTCTCTTTGCAGAGGAGGCCAAAGTCGCCGCCGAGGAGCTGACTCGATCGCCGGTGATTGGAAGTCGTCAGGCAGATGCCAGCGCCAGTCCGATCCAGTCGCGTGCCTCCAGCGAAACGTGGCCACAGCAGTCGGATGAGGACATCGATCGGCTGGTGGCCATGCACCAAAACCGCAGCAGTCTCAGCTCCCTGGGGGTGAGTAATAAAGCACTGATAACAGTGACAGCAGATTACGTAAGAGCTGTGACTTAATGACTCATCTTTTTTCGGCAGGTTCGCTCGGAATCCATGGCCAGCGTTTACTCTGGCGCCGGCGAAGGTCGCTATGGCACCGTGGTGGTCAAGGGTCAGGTGGAGTTTGGCATGCAGTACAACTACAAGCTGGGCGCCCTGGAAATCCATGTGGTGCGCTGCAAGGATCTAGCCGCCGTTGATGCCAAGCGCAATCGCAGCGATCCCTACGTGAAGGTGGGTGTTACATACCTCTAGATACATTCTCCTGGATCTTTTCTAACTTCTGGCTTTACTTTTAAGGTGTACCTGCTGCCCGACAAGTCCAAGGCTGGCAAGCGCAAAACCAAAGTCAAGAAGCACACCCTGAATCCCATCTTCGATGAGACGATGCGCTTCCACACACCCATCTCCAGCCTGGAGTCGCGTACGCTCTGGCTGACCGTGTGGCACTCGGATATGTTTGGGCGAAATGACTTCCTCGGCGAAGTCAGTGTCAATTTGCAAGGACGCGTCTTTGACAATCCCCAATCGCAGTGGTACCTGCTCCAAGAGCGAGTAAGTAACTATTTCTTAAATATATAAAAGAAATGTGTAATAAATTGGGATCTTTTCAGAGCGAACCCTTCGATGAGGTGGCCACCTACCGAGGCGACATTGTAGTGGGCCTGAAGTACATTCCCCCGGAGAGTCTAAAGTCCTCGTTCTTCTCTCGCGGCTCCTCGCTCACGGGCAGCTCCTCGAACCTTCGAAAATTCGGTGGCAGCATCAAGTCGGTGACCTCCAAGTCGGATCGCAGCACCAAGGGTGGCCAGCTGCATGTGCTGGTTAAGGAGGCCAAGCATCTGAGTCCCATCAAGGCCAACGGCACCTGCGATGCCTTCTGCAAGAGGTGAGTTTTGCTAAAACTTTGAGTTTTTGAATATTTTTAACCAAGTAAATGCATCAATCCCTTAGCTATTTGCTACCGGATCGCACAAGGAGCTCCAAGCAAAAGACTCCAGTGGTGAAGCGCACTCTGCATCCCAGCTGGAACTATACCTTTGTGTACGAGGATGTCTCCCTGGAGGATTTATCGGAGCGCGCCTTGGAGCTAACAGTATGGGATCACGATCGACTGGCAAGCAATGAGTTTGTTGGTGGAATTCGCTTCTCTCTCGGCACAGGTGAGTTGAAAGGAATAATATTCTTCTTCAGATTTATTAACTTATGTCTCCCTTTCCCCCAAAAACAGGTCGCAGCTATGGCCGTCAGGTGGAGTGGATGGATGCCACCGGCAAGGAGCTCTCCCTGTGGCAGAACATGCTGGATCGTCCCAACTTTTGGGTGGAGGGCAGCTTGGTGCTACGCTCCAGCTTGGATGGCATTCGAGCCACATTGCCATAGGGAGTCTAAAGGAGCCAGGAGGTGTCACACAGCAACACTGCATTGTATTGTATTGTATTGTATTTGTATTAATTATGCGATAATTATCAATTAGCGATCACAAGAATTCTGAGAAGCATTACTAGCGTTGTAAGGATAATGGCTGGAAGGATCAGCACTTACACAAGTTAGAGTTAAGTGCGTGATGATGATGATACTCGAATACGCCGGAGCGCGGCAATAACGCTGCGAAAAGAAACAAAAAACTATAAAAAAATGAAAAAAGAAAATGTTATCATGTTTATGGCACTAATTGTAAGCGCTATTCTCAGCTACTCGATGCTGATAAAAACCATGAAAAACTGTAAAAACCACTATGAGACCCAAGGTTGGTCCCCCTAGATACTAAGCGAGTTTGTATGTGTGTTTTTTCCCCACCTCTCCCCCCCGAGAGAGGCAATCGCAATTCGCATACTGTATGCACTAAACTACGATTAAAATACCACTAAAAAACGTATATATATATACACTAAATACCTAGTTAAATCGAGGCATAAGCTTACCATGTACAACTCTATCCGTAATATTCGAATACGAGAAATACAAATGACATTTTTGTAAATGCTGCAATTTTTGATTTATTTTCCACTCTTTGGTTTCCTAGATCCTAAGGTGAACTACATGCATATACATATACCTATTCCGACGTCATACATATCGCAAACATTGTGCAAATCCAGCAAAGCTTCAGCTAAACTAATGAAAACTAAACTAAACTAAACTGAACTAAGCTAGCTATCTAGTTAAGTGACGACCCACGACAGCAATCAATGATCAATCAATTCCCACAGCAGCCAATGATATCACACCTCTCCCTCCAATATCTGAGTATTGTGTACTGAAAATGATGATGCATTGTTTCAGAGAAATCACTTTTAAGAATACAACAAATCGAGTCTTATGAATGCTTTTGGTGTAAGTGGATATATTTACCCTGAACGTGAATATAATGCGCATATAATATTTAACGTTGAAGGAAACAAATGATACATACATACTTGTCAACAATTTATAGAAGATGTTTTTTATAAAAGAAAATTGCTGAATCACTCGTTGCCTAAATACCGCTTGTCTTTTATACTCGATGTTTTCGAAACACACACGATCACAGAAGAAACACACACACTCCACATCAGTCGATCAGTCGATCAGGTGGAATATAGAATACTTTCTCTAAATCAGCATATGATAAATGTCAAACAATAAGCAGCAAATATTGCAAAAGTAAATGGTATTTAGTAGCGTAGAAGGCCCAGAATAAACATATACATATATACACGATACTAAGCATAACTCTACCCGCGAATAGTTCATAATCTAAGGTTGAAGCGTTTGCTGTTCGATTCGGCTCTCTAATCTAGCCATAAATTTGTTGAGAGTCCAATCGCACACACCCTAATAGTATATAGTATACAAGCAACAAACATGCATATATAGTCATAATTTATTCCCCCTAAAGTCTTCAGAATGTTTCAATGTTTACTACATGTATATTTTTCTACTACTTACTATGTACTACCACCTAAAACCAGTATATCACTTACCTTAGGGACTCGCAGGGACGACAAGGCGCTGTGTTTTAACAGCAGCTGCCCTTTTGGGTCCCACTCACTTACTCACTCACTGAGAAGATGGTGCTATACTCGAATATATAAGGATACACTCACGCCCAGTCTCTGGCATCGTAGTCTACTGGGAAGGACTGGGGGAGATCGATCTTTTTACCTTTTTACTGTGTGTACATGCATTTCGGATTCAACTATTGTGAACTAGTGCTGATTACGCAATCCGGATGCAGACTTCACTCCTACCTACTTTATACATATACATCTACTGAGATACATACTTGTAAACCTACCTACCACCTACTATATATCCCCTTTACAAGCGACGAAGCGATCGCATTCCCTAGTCTTAAGCCACTCGAAAGGGAAAATATATTTGTTACTTGAAAACCTGAGCGATAGGTCATTTCTATAGAACGTTTTTCGACGCTGCGAGGAATAAGGTTACCCGATATCGGAAGAGAATATTTATGTACCCATTGTATTTGTTAGCATTCGCCAGAATTGCTCATAGAAGAACCCCAGCTAGATTATTATCAATGTATGTAAGACCACCCAATGGAAATATGTTAGGCCAAAGAGCCACGCCCCCAAAAAGCAAAAATTAAACACTGTTGCGTTAATGTAGAGAACTTTTTTAGCGAATACAACACAACTCACACACGTAAGATACACGGAAATATACATAGTAATAGACGAGAGACGCTGCGGTTGCCTTCCTATATAATCATAAAACTATGTTGTTTCATTGATAGTACTCTATCCTGCATTCCAGTACTGCCCTAGGAACAATCTCTGACACCCTTTTTATATCATGTGAAACTGAGTAATTAAGTTAATCCTTCCGCTACACTAAAAAGCAATCGGTTAACGGTTGCGCGTCTAGTTTCCTGTCTAGTTTTATATTCTGGCGGCAACCGGCGATATTGGCCCTAAATCACTTTGCGCTAGACTTTACACTTAGATTTAAGATTAAAGAGAACGGAGCTCCGGCCTCTGAAGATTGATATTGAAAATTGAATGATTAGAAATTGCATGTCAGAGTTTGTAAGACTTTCTAAAAGGCAATTGGAGCAGAGCATTGTAAGCGTTATGTTTATGGCATTTAAGCGTTACATAATTACAAGAGTTTACATAACCATTTACAAGATACAAAATACAAAATACAAGATACAAGATACAACATACAAGATACAAGATACTTATGAACCTTTTACTTACAAGTAAGTACTTAATACAACTGCAACCATACCGATACCGATACCGATTGGCTCAATGCTAAGTTGCTAAGTTAATATTGTGTTACAAAAAAATTGTGAACAGCAGTGAATCGATAAAATAAAGCAAACTTCACATCTATTGACAAATTTCGCAACTATCTCTTGTCTGTCTGCTTTCTCATCTCCTGAGGAAATCGCTGGACTCAAAAGTCTTTTGGGGAAATACTATACTTCCTTTGGTGCTTTGTTTATCACTACACTTCCGCTTCCGGCTTGGTCTGCCCATTCAGCTGCTGCAGCCTAACCTCCTCCGCCGGCTCCTTGGGCACATCGTCATCGTTCCGGCGCCAACAGTCGAAGGACAGCATGGAGTCGCCCTTGCCAAAGGCCTCGCCATCGGCCAGGGTAATGGGAAGTTGCCTATGAGAAAAAAAGAGTGTTAGCTCCGGGAACTCCCTCTTGAAATCTTGTGTTTGCTCTCACCTGTTGTTCGTCTCCGGCAGCATCAGGGTGCACATGGAAGCGGACATGAGGAGCAGGGCCAGGATGAGGGATGGGGCTGCTGCCAGCTTGGTGCCCAAATGTATCAGATAGGGCGACACAAAGGAGGCACCCGCTGCGGCCAGGTGCACGGCAGCAATGCCACGCGAACGCACACAGGTGGGCAGCAGCTCCGAGGAGAACTGCGAGGTAACGGTATAGGACATGGAGATGCCCAGACGCATGGGCAGGGCGAAGGCCAGCAGCAGGGTCACATTCTGCTGGGCCCCTTCGGTGGACAGGGCCACGCCCAGGGCACAGGACAGCAGCCCGGTGCAGAGCATGGCCAAAAAGGCGGTGGCCTTGCGTCCCACACGGCTCAGCAGGAGTCCCTGGATGAATCCAGAGGGTGGCACCACCACGGCAAAGAGGGAGAAGACCACAAACGGGGATAGGCCCAGGCCCTCCACATTTCGGGAGATTGTATTAAAACTCAGCGAGACCAACATGCTAGACACATTAAAAGAAACCAATTAGAATGACATAGAAAACTAAATAATGTAATTTACTCACAAAGTAAACACCACCAGCAGGGATGTCTTTCGAAGATTTGGCGTCCGCAGAAGATCAATAATTCCAGCCGTTTGCTCTGGTTGGTTCGAGAGCTTTCTCTTGACGATGCAGTGCCTCCTGAAGGCCTCGAAATCACTTGCCGGCACCTCCTGTCCATTGAAATGAGCAATGTGCTTCAGCCTGGCAATTGCTCCCTCCACATTCGTCCTTGTGATTAGCCACTGGGCACTCTCCTGGACCACGAAGTAGAACAAAGCCACCACCAGCTGGAGCAGGGCCGAGCAGGTGAGGTAGATGCGCCAGTTACCAGCCAGCACAGACAGCCAAGGAGCCACCAAGGCTCCCAGACAGAAGCATATGCCAAGGGTTCCACTTATGGCCAAGTTACGCAGCTTGGGGGCCAAGTACTCCAGCACTGGGAAAAGGAAATTGGGATATATTTTTAGAAAATTCTTGGATTTCTTAAGTGTTTATATAAAGAAGAATTCTTATAAATATTTACTAAGATACTGCTGAATGGAGTTTCAAATACCCTTTATCTAAATACCTAATATTAAAATAAAGCAAAGTCTAATAAATTTTTGTAGAATTACTTATATCAAACTATAATTAATAGCTTCAAGGTCGACCTTAACTTTCAATATAGCTTTTCACCCAATTTAAATTCCAAATATATATTCTAACAAGAATGATTCACCTCTTTTTGTTATTTAAGCGATTAAATTATATTTTTATTTACCTAGCATGAAGTCATGAAAGTAAAAATAAAACTATTTCGTTGACTTACGTGACTGAAAAGTCTTAAAATCATCACGTTTGGATTGATATTTTCTCGAAATATTGTATCTAGTAAGATACATAAGCACAAGCTTCTACGTAAATCTAAAGCAAAAGATGATAAAATAAACTCAAGTTAAACTGAAACAAATCAGTTGTTGAACCTGCACAAAAATTAATGCCTAATTCTACAGCAAAGTCTGAAACGCAGACAGCAATAAAGTTAGGATTTCGAAATTGAAAACCTGCAAATGCAGATGCAGATCGTACCAATAAACTTCTATAAACCCAAAAAAGCTGATGCGTAACACGGTAGGTCTTTATGGCAATCATTAGGAGTAGACACTGTTGTTGTTGACTCTGAAATGTGTTTGTGTGTGTGGAAAAGCTTTCCCCAGATCTACACAAGACTCGAGATATCGCAATGCTTACCCAGAATAAACATCAGATAGTAGTTAGCCGTGGCAGCGAGACCAGAAATGCACCGAAAGATGGCAAACTGCACCAGATTCGAGGCGTAGGTAGTGAGGAAATCACCCACAAATCCACATTGGTTGGCCAGTATCACAGCCCGTACTCTCCCAATCTTGTCACCCAGCATCCCAAAGGTGAAGGTGCCCATTAAGGATCCGAGAAAGAACAGTGACTGTCCGATTCGCGCCTTGTAAGCGTCCTGACAGACCCAGTTGAGCTGTGGAAAAGGATACTTATTAGTCTCTACTGCTTGAGAACTCTTCCATAACTCACCTCTGCATTCATGCTTCGAAATCCGTAATCATAGTTGTATATCCAACGCTGGCAGACCTCCGTGCTCACCGTCACCTTGTCACCTTCGATTGTGTCCAGCCGGGTGCAGGATGCCTCCTTTCCGAACGGAGCATAAATGGCCGCAATATCCTCAAAGCTCCGATTCGCCAGCTTCTCATGGTAGCACCAGTGCTGCGGCACAAAACCGATTATGTTCTGCGAATAGTAGTGCACGGTGGTGGTGAAGGCGATGTAGCCGAGCAGCAGAATCATCAGGTACTGATAGCGACCCGCATTGCCGCACTTCTCCAAGATCTTGTCAAAGTCCATGTCCCCCGATGTCGTGCTCTCGCTGAGATTCTATTAAGACTAAACGCTCGAGCGATCCAATCCGATCCGAAGCGACCACGAAACGAGGCGAAAGAGTGCAAGGTGGCCGGATTCGCACGTTGGTCTCCGTCCACGTCTCCGTCTCCGTCTCCATCTTCGCCAGCGTTTACGTCTGCCTCGATCCGCGATAAGATTGTTTTGGGGGCGGCTTATCGCCACACACACAGCGGGTCTGCTCAAACGAGAACGCTTTATTATATTAAGTGAACTTGCTCATTCACTCCAATCTAAACAAACGCCGGCGGCGTCTCGCGAGAAGGAAGGAAGGAAACCTTCTTCTCTCCACTGGAATAGATAAACACTCGCGTGGTGACCTCTGAAATGTGAATCGAATACACAAGTGAATGGACTCTTAATAAAACCCGAATCACAAAGAGCCGTCCCATCTTAAGTGCATAAAAGGTCAAGAGTGAAATGGGATAAAAGCATGAATGACAAGCTAGATTCGTCAGAATGAACACGAACATACCCTTGATTGAATGTGAGTATTATTTTAGAGAAACTTGAATGGAACTTTTAGAACTTGACTTATAATCATATATTGTAAAGAGAAAGATGTGAAAAAGGATAAAATTAACCAAAATAAAGTAATTGGAATTGAAAAACTTAAAAACTTTATTTGCATTTTCAAATATTTTTTAATGGTGGAATATTGGCCCTATTTTTTATGTTTTAAATCATCTCTTTGGGCTAGAAGAAACTTAACATAAAAAATGTCTATCAAACAAAGTGAAATTTTAAGTTAAAATAACTATTTATTAGATATTATCCAAAACTATCAATTGTAATGTATTTTTCTCTATTTTGTTTTTATTAGTTTATATTGTAAACTATTTGTCAATAGTTGATCTAATTACTATTATACATACAAAGATTAATGAAGAATAATTTACTATTTCAAATATAGGTACATCCGACCCCTTGAAAGTAAACACTTTAGCATTTATATGTTTTATTCTTTAATTCAAAATTTAACTTACAGAGTAAACAGTTTTAAAATAACTAAAAAAACACATAAACAAGTCTGCGCATCGAGTAATAAAAAATCTTTAAAATACACTCGACTCCTTTTCTTATCCCAACCGATAGCAGTAATAGTTATTACCAGTCTTTCTCGCAGTTCTTATTGTCATATTATGTACGTAAGTTAATTATGCTCATTCCGTTATTAGTCTACGTTTTTTATAACCTAGATAAAGCGGGTCTTATATATGCTATCTCTGACCAACTCGAATTTTAAGACTAAAGATATCTAAGACAAAAATGCAACAATTTATAATGAGAGTTAACTATAAAACATAAATGTTTTAGCACTTAAGTACGTACAAATTAAATTCATAACAAAATATAATTATTTGGTTAAATTAAATGCATTTAAATACTTTCCAAATTCAATTCGAATCCTATTAAAATGGGAAAGCACCTACCTAGTGAGTAATCTTACTCTGCCATTAGCTTCTCGTTGGTGCCATCAGCCTTGAGATCATCCCGACCATTCTCCTCCCTCGTCTCCTCCTTGGACCGTCGCAGGAAGTCAAACATCCGCTCGTCCTTGCCAAACTCCTCACCCTCGGCCAGGCTCATGGGCAGCTTCTTGTTCCGCGTCTCCGGCAGGAGCAGGCAAATCCAGGCGCTGAACAGCAGCAGCAGGCAGAGAATGATCGAGGACCCCGCCCGGAAGTAGGTGTCCAAGTGTAGGATAAATGGCGAAAGGAAGGAGAGCGCTGCTCCCGCCACATGGACCACAGCCAGGCCACTCGATCGCACACAGGTGGGCACCAGTTCAGCCGATATCTGCATGGTGGCGCCCGAGGTGACGGAGATCCCAAAGCGGGATGCCAGCATCAGGGCGACCATAACACCGACACTGGGCTCCCGCCAGACACTGAGCATTATGCCACTGGCCGCCGTCAGGGTTCCAGTTACAACCATGCTCGTCACCGAGGTGAACTTGCGACCCAGGTGCCGCTGGGTTAGGATCTGGACGATCCCCGAGGGCGGCAGGGTCAGCGCGAACAACGTGAACATCACGAAGGGCGACATGCCCAATCCCTCCACATTCCGGGACATGGTGTTGTAGCAGAGCGTGATTATCGTGCTGCCAAGAAAATATTTACGAGTTATTCAGATATATTATAACAAACTAGTTATGAAATCAAGAGAATCGAGAACAATGGGAATAAAAAAGTTGACCTAGAAGCTTAAACATGACTTTGCTTACTAATTCCAGTTTGAAATTTAAGGTTTAAAATATGCTTTTGTTATAAAACAGTTTCATATTAAAACATTCCTCTAGCATCTGAGATATATATGTTGGGTGGTGTTACACCTCGGTTTTCAATAGCTTCCTAGTCTTAGCTAAAGCTAAAAATGAGCCTTAAGCTAATGTACTTTTTTAAAAGCCTGTAAAAGATATAACTAAATGTTTTTAAGACTAAACAACAAAGGTAAAAATGAGAACAATTATCTGGAGAATAAAGTGGATCTTAATTTATGATTTATAATATACTTTCTTTGACTAGAAAATAGGGTTTATACTCACAACACAACCAGGACATAGATGAGCCTGAGGCACAATCTTGGCGACTTGAGTGCATCTACCAAACGCGCTTGCTTCTGGAGGGACATCCGGCTATTGGCCTCCGACATCTTCGTCTTGCAATGCTGTCGGAATAGTTCAATGTCCGCCTCACTGACCTCCCTCCGGTTGAACTTGGCCACGCGGCGCAGTCGCAACACAGCACCGTCAAGGTCATGGCTGGTGACCAGCCACTGAGCACTCTCTTGGACCAGAAAGTAAAAGCAGGTGACCAGAACCTGGGGCAGAGCCGACCAGGCCATATAGGAACGCCAGTTGCCCAGCCAGACGGCCTGCCAGGAGGCACTGATCATGCCCAGGCAGTAGAAGATGCTCATCGTTAGGTTAAGGCCCACACTCCGCATCGATGGCGACACGTACTCCAGCACTGTGATTGGAAATAGATAGAGATTACTAACTAGGATCTATAGGTTTATGGTCATAACATACCCAGTATATACATGAGGTAGGCATTGGCCTCGGCCGCAAGTCCCGAGGCAAAGCGGCTGGCCGAGAAGGTCACCAGACTCTGGGCGTAAATGGTGGCCGAATCACCCAAGAAACCGCACCAGTTGGCCAAAACCATGGCCCGAATGCGTCCAATCCGGTCTCCTAGGATACCAAAAAGCAAAGTGCCGCACATGGAACCCAGGAAGAACAGGGACTGACCTACACGGGCCTTGTACGCCGAATCGCAGACCCAGTTCAGCTGAGGAAGGGTTATAAAAACCATATTAGAGCAGGAATCATCTCCTAGTGTAGCCTCTTACATCGGCGTTCATGCTCCGGAATCCATGGTCATAGTTGTAGATCCAACGGGTGCAGGGTTTCCCGCTTGCCGTGGCATTCCTCGAATCCCAATCAATGGACGCCAGTTGGGTGCAGGAGGGACTCTCGAATGGGGCGTAAATAGACGCAATTTCGGCATAGCTGCGATTCTCCAGCTGCTCGTGATAGCACCAGTGATCGGGCACAAAGCTGATGACACTCTGGGCAAAGTAATGCCGGGAAACGATGAACATGAGCAGCCCGTAGAGGGCCAGCAGCATGTACTGGTAGCGATGGCAGTCGCCGCACTTGCCCAGTATCTTCTCAAAGTCCATGGCCATGGATGCAACCGTGGAATACCGTGGAGTTAGCTGGTCCGCCGCACGTCGCCTCGTCGTCCGCTCTCTTCCGCTGCCACGCACCAACTGCCAGCCAGTCCAGCTGCGCTCTGGGTTTCCCAATCCGCTCCTAAATGCCAAATAGTTAAGAGAGACGCCGCGTTGTGAAAGCTGATATTGTGGAGTTGAATAGTTGGAACCACTCTGGTGCCTCTCGCGCGGCTGATAAGTGCCTCACTCGCGCCAGTCGTCAAAATCGCCTCCTCAGCTGGCCGAATCGAACGCCCGATTCCCATTCCGATTCAGATCGTAACTTAAACGTATTGATTTAATTATTATGGCTGATAAGCGAGTCCGCTGGGTCCCCAAAGACGCTGTAATCTGCAATCTACCATTCAAGAAATATACAACTCGGTTACTGCTAATTTATACAGATAGACGATCCTAAAGACATCGCAGTGGCATGATTATACGCAGTCACATCAATACATATAAATGTCCAGATTTTTGACTCAATAATTATGTTTAGGTTACTACATTTTCTTAACTTATATAAATTCAAATTGTTTGGTTTTTCAATTACTTATTTCGTATATTTCTCTTTCATTTTGCCTAATAACATTTGACATTTAATTTTTCCTGTTATTCCGATTTAGGGAAACTCCTAATGAACAGCTAATAAATGTTTATTGAACCCATAAATCGCATTTACTTATCGTATATTAAAAAGTCAGATACGAAGAGGTGGCTTATGGCATAAATTACATTAAATAGATAATAGAAATAAGCACTTAAATCAGGATTTTTGTGCCTTTGTCATCAGAGTATCCTCCTCCACGGTCTTGGTGCTCATCTCGACCTCAGTTGCGTTGCTCTCTCTCCTCCGGAGCTTGGTCAGAAAGTCAAAGATGCCTTCTCCACGACCGAACTCCTCACCTTCGGCCAACGACATGGGCAGCTTCCGGTTACGCGTCTCCGGAAGTAGCAGACAGACATAGGCACCGGACAGGAAAAGTAGTCCCAGGATTATAGAGGGAGCTGGCTTAAAATACGTGCCCAGATGCAGGATGTAAGGTGAGAGGAAAGAGGCAGCAAACCCTGCCACATGCACCACTGCCACACCCCTTCCACGGACGCAGGTGGGAATCAGCTCAGTGGAGAACTGGGAACTGGCTCCATCAGAGATGGACACTCCAAATCTGGCGGCCAGAGTCAGACCCACCAGGAGCAACACGCTCCGATGACTACCCTGTGCTATCACCAATCCAGCAGCAGCGGCAAAGATCCCGGTGATGGTCATCCAACTAACTGCGGTGGCCTTGCGCCCAATCTTGTCCTGGAGCAGGCCCTGGAGGTAACCGGAGGGCGGCAGGGTTAGGGCATTCAGCGAGAACATGACGAAAGGTGAGATGCCCAAACCTTCCACGTTCCTGGCAATGGTGTTGTAGCAGGGTGTGATTATAATGCTGAAAGGAGAAATAATATTAATTAAGTACTCTTAGTTAACATAAATTACTCACAAAATCAACAACAGCTTAATGGCTGTGCTGCGCATGCGCGGCGTTTTGAGCATGTCCAGTAGACGGACATTTGTTTGCTTCGCTTCCTTGGTCTCCCTACGGTAGTGCTCCTCGCAATAGCTCCTGAAGGACTTGAAGTCATCGTCAGCCACCTGGCGGCGATTGATCTTGGCCACGCGCTGCAACCGACGAATGGCTCCGTCGATATCATTACGCGTGACCAGCCACTGGGCGCTCTCCTGGACGAGGAAGTAAAAAAGTGTGACCAGTAGCAGCGGCACCGAAGAGCAGGCGAGGAAGAGGCGCCAGTGGCCCACCCAGACGGCCAGCCAGGAGGCTCCAATCAAGCCCAGGCAGTAGAAGCTGCCCAAGACTGTGTTGAGACCCACATTCCTCAATGATGGCGAGACATATTCGAGAACTGTAAAAATCAATCATTGATTAATTTACTTTTAAATAAAGTAAAAGTCTTGGCCAATTACTTACTCAATATATACATGAGATAGGAGTTGGCATCGGCCGCCAGTCCGGAGACAAAACGACTGATCGAGAACGAAACTAGATTCGTGGCGAATATGGTTGAGAAATCGCCCAGAAAGCCGCACCAGTTGGCCAAAATCAAGGCCTTAATTCGTCCAATCCGATCGCCAAGCAGGCCAAAGACCAGAGTTCCACAAACCGAGCCCACAAAGAACAGTGACTGGCCCACTCTTGGCTTATAGGCCTCGTCGCAAACCCAATTGAGCTAAAGAATATATCATATACCATATAAATAAAATAATAGAAATATGTAAGAACTTAATGTACTTTTAATTTTTGAATTAAGTAGAATTAAGTAAACTCACCTCTGTATTCATGCTTCTGTATCCAAAGTCGTACTTGTAGATCCACTGACTGCATCTTTCCGGGCTCACCGTGTGATTCCCTCCATTCTCATCGATTCTCTCCAGCCGCGTGCACGATGGCTTCTCGAACACCGAATAGATTGCCTCGATCTCGGCGAAGCTGCGATTCTCCAGCTGCTCATGGTAACACCAGTGATCGGGCACAAAACTGATGACGTTCTGCGAGAAATAATGCATGGATACGACCACCATAAGGTAGCCATAGAGAGCCAGCAGCAGGAACTGATAGCGACTGCTGTGGCCACACTTGGCCAGAATCTCCTCGAAATCCATGCTGACTACGGTATCGGATTTTTGCGGCCTCCAGACTTCAGCGGCGTTCGCAATGTTGTGATGATAAGCGCATATCTGAGAGGGGTCTGGCCTCTACGGGGAACTGGGAATGTGGCTAAAACGGAGACCGGGTGAGACCGGTGAGCAGGTAATCACTTGCCGGTTCTCAGAATCGGTTTATTGGTCCCCGGCTCCTGGGTGTATCGAACGCAGCTGAAACCCGTTCCGCCTCTGTTCTGGTGGCACGGAGCGCACGCTTCCAACTGGTCATGAACCGGAGGCGGAGACCCACGGGTGTGTGTTGCTCACAGAGAGAGAGAGTGCTGCTTACATGAGAGTCGCACTTTCCACTCTCTTACTCAATTATGCGGCATTTGAAAAAAACCTACTTGAGCACGCCCCAGAGGGAAGAGAGGAAGAGAAGAAATTCGGAAATTCGCACTGCATTTACAAAATTTGAATTTCAATCAGTTTCAATTTCTTCCACTTGTCGACCATTAACAAAGAGTCAATGACTTAATTTTGATTGATTGATATACAAATATCTATTAATAAATCGAAGAAGTTTGCTTTTGAGAATTCAAGGATATCATACAGGATGGTGGTTGTTTATAATTTTTTGTTTTCAGAATTTTATCAGTATTGATCAATGAGGAAATAGATATGTCATGAGTGCCTTGCAGCTGAACAAATTCATTATTCTTAATTAAACAACTATTTAAAATTGGGATAGAACTTTTTTATTGCTTGTTAAAAGATCTGCATATACATACATATAATTAATGTTAGTTAGTATAGTAAAGTGAAGCAGTAAGGGGGTTGACCCATGCGATGGCCGTTTTTATACCCTTGCAGGGTATTATAATTTCAGTCAGAAGTTTGCAACGCAGTGAAGGAGGCACCTCCGACTATATAAAGTATATATATTCTTGATCAGGATCAACAGCCGAGTCGATCTAGCCATGTCCGTCTGTCCGTCTGTCCGTCTGTCCGTCTGTCCTTCTGTCCGTCTGTCCGTCTGTCCGTCTGTCCGTTTCTACGCAAACTAGTCTTTCAGTTTTGAAGCTATCTGAACGAAACTTTGTAGTTAGCCTTCTATATACTCTCACTCGTATATATGTCGGAACGGGCCGGATCGGACGACTATATCATATAGCTGCCATAGGAATGATCGGAAAATTTTTTTAAAAAAAATTTTAACTTTTTCAGTTTTCAATAAAATTGGATCAAATTTGAGATATAGCCATTTTACTATACTCTACAATTTTGCATAAAGTTTTATGAAAATCGGACTACTATATCATATAGCTCCCATAGGAACGATCGAGCAATTAATACAATTAAATTTATAACTTTTTCTGTATTCAGCTGATTTTCATCAAATTTTAGGTATAGGCATTTAATTTAAGTCTTAAATTTTGTGGTAAATTTCATGAAAATCGGACGACTATATCATATAGGTGCCATACAAACGATCGTTAGATGTGGAAAAAAATGCAAATCAGTGAATGTAAAACTGCAAATATAATATGTATAGGTGAATGAAATGAAAGCAGGTATTACTTCATTGTTTTTTAACACAAAGATATATAATTTGTATTGTATGGTTTTTTATTCATAGAAGTTCTATCTGCAAGGGTATATAAGCTTCGGCGTGCCGAAGTTAGCTTCCTTTCTTGTTTTTTTTTTTTTTTTTTAATTCAAATTTGATTATTAATTTATTTATTCAAGATACTTTTTGAATTTTAAACATTTTTAGCACATTTGTATGAAAAACAAATAAAAATTGATACAAAAATGTCACTCTTTAAAATGAATTAGTCGACGGATAATACACTCCGTTCTACATATATATGTACATAATATACGTTAAAGTCGATATTGTTAACATTTGTTTTTATTATAATGTCCATGCAAATTTAGTTGACAATTTGCAACGCAGTGAAGGAGTCATATCCGACCCAATGACCCAATAAATATCCAGTTCCCTAATAATATCTTTAAATCTCTGTTATCAAATTATACATGTTCCCGAAAAATGCTCTTGTCCTTCAATATCTGCGTTATCCTGTGACTCTCAGTGCCGAATCTAGGCTTTGGAACCAACAATGGTACCCGCATCGGAACGAGATGAATTTCAATTTTAGTTTTTATTATTTATCTTTAATTAAAGTCAAAGCGTGGGATGGCCCCTCCTAAGGAATAGGAATTGCTTGGTCCTGGGGATCCGCAGTGTTCTGACGATGGCGAATAAATAATTTATAAGATCTCTACTGTACTAGTTGAAGTCAAGATATTAAACGAAATATTAAAGTGCAGCCATTCAGCTTTTCCAGTAAATAAATTTTGTTTTGCCAAAATTTATATTTATATAGATTTAAAAAATTTTAATTGCTTTGTTTTATTGATGCTTACTTGGAGTCCTTGGATCCTCATGACCCAGATAAATATAGTCACACTTACGCATTGATTATTCCAACCAGACTTAAACAATAAAAACTCTTTATATATATTAATTTTTTATTGCTTTTATTTTAGTTTTTTTTCTGTTTTCTTTTATATGTGTTTATCAATTACATTTGCTGTTTAGATGGATACATGTCTACATTTGCTGCCTTTTGAATATATATATATTATAATATTAGCTTTAATATGAATCATAATTGATGGTCTCCATCATCGCTCCCGTGTCTGTTTGGATTTATAAATGTAGTAAACGCAGTTTCGTGATAACATGATATAGATAGACCTTATTAGATTTGCTTTTTCTTCTGACTTAAGTAGAATACGTACATACACAAGTAGTAGGTATTTCAGAACTGTACATACATACATTAGATGCGATGTGTTAACTAAATTTGATTAACAACTAAACTACTTAGCTGGCCTAGAGTGTATCGTAGCGTTTGAGTAAATATAGGCAATAGTGCAGGATAACTAACTTAAGACTCTTACAAAGACGTACATACACATTCAACTCGATATACTCTAAACTATAGATACATGATAGGGTAATAATAAATATAGTCGAAGAAACCATCATCGTATAGACTAAAGCCCTGAATGGTTAACGGGGGAAAAACAAGCAATCACTACCTACAATCTTCAAAATTCAGTCACAATTCATTTCCATTACAATCCGTTCATTGCAGGCCCGAAATAATACATTTAGAACAAGATACAAGATACACTATATACGGGATACTATATACTACAGCTACATACACATATGCTCCTCCTCAGTTGCCTTTCGATAATTATAAAAACAAAACGCTTGAAAGAAGGCAAAGAAAACCAAGACTAGTTGGGATATGCTCACGACCCCCTTTAATCATCCCACACAATCAATGCTATCGTAGAAGATCTCCTCGTCCCTATCCTCATCCCCATCCTCCTCCGGCTCCTCGAAATCATCCACATCGTAGGAGATCAGAGACTGGAGGCTATCATCCAGCAGCTTGTGCTGCACATGATGCACCTCAAATAGATTGGCATCCCTCTTATCCTTGGGCGGAGTGCCAAACCAAATGGCCACCTCATCGTCTCCTTCGACCACATCGCCTCTTGGAGCAGCGCCTTCGCCCCTGCGATCATTCCGGGCCACAGGATCAGCTCTCGCCTCGGTGATGGAGTCACTGTAGCCATAGTCGAAGGTGACCAGGAGATTGTCACCGCCACACTCCATGGAATTGGGCGCTGTGTACTCCGTGTAGTACGAATCGTAGACCGTCTCCTCGGACACATAGGACAGGAATCCCTGCTGCTGCTGCTGCTGCTGGTTTTGACTGATGCTGCTCGTTTGCCACAGTTGCCAGCCTTGGTTATTGAGACGGAAATTTGGCATTTCCAAATTCTGAGCATCGCAAAGAAAAACATAGAATAGAATATCAAATCTTTGGTTCAATATAATGGGTGCACTCAAGCAATGGGGAATGAAAAAGAAATAGGAACAAGAAAGAAGGAGTTAGGACACAAAAAATATATTTATAATCAAAAAGAACATTATCAGAGAGATCGTTAGGAGAAAACACAAAAAGTATTGGGGTTAGCATATGCAGCAAGAGCGGACAGCGGTTAGAACCCTCAACCTTGGCCACAATATAGGTTTATATATTCTTTGGGGTTAGCACAGAGCGATCAATCAGTCAATCAATCAACCAATCAGTTTATGTACAGCAATTACCTTAAGGTGTCTTGAATCAGAAATTTATTTCATATCTTTTTACTTGTGTGTGCACTCTGCCCATTTGCTATTGTAGAAAGGGTGGAGGATCTAGGACTAGGACTAGATATAGTCTGGGTGGGTCTAGATCTACGACAGAACTACGGCAAAGTAAAACCCAACTCTGATGGTGCGGGGTAAGCGAAAGAAAAAGCTGTGGAATTGGCGGTGTGGGGATCGTTTTGGTTTGGAGTCGAGGGATGGTAGCTTAACCTACTAGGTGAGTTACAACAAAAGGGAGACTTACGCGTATAACGAATGGCGGCAAAGTGTGTCTATTGCATTGTCTTTGCTTTTGGCTGGGCGAAAAACAAAACAGACAAACGATCTACAACAAACAGAGGGCTCCAGATTGGAGATCTCGAGCTGATTTTTGGTTCTAGAGCTGATCTGAGCTGGAGAGGATGTATGTACCGGGGGCGAGGGCGCTGCTCCATTTCTTGTTTGGCGGCCGTCACTATTATCTGCGGCTGTCCGATACCAAAAACTCCAGTCCGCATATAATCTTTGTTTTACTTGGTTAGCATTTTGTAAGTGTCTTTTTATTTCTGGCATGCAGTCGAATTTATGTATTACCACCAACATGTCAATCAATCAATCAGTCAATCAGTACACCATACGTATAGGTAACATCTGCCACTCCTGTTCACCAACTCCGATTATTATTTTTATCTCAGCTTGTTAGGAAAAGCGGTTGGTTTCTGTATTTTCACAAAAGGTTTTAGTTACATTTTTTGGGCTGTTTGTTGGTGGTTTTGTTTTTTGGGATTCGGTTTCGGTTGTGGTTGGGTTTTTTGTTGGTTGGATACACATATGTACATTTATATGTTTTTTGCGGGGATATTTTTGGTACGGTCAGTTTTATCGGATATACAAAATACGAGTATATATGTGAGTTATAACAACAGACAGGTTTTTTTTTGTTTTTTGTTTGGAGTACAAATAGGGCGGAAAGAGGCGCAGAAAGAAAAAGTAAAAGTAAAAAGAAATTACAGCATTAGATACAAATTAATTCAAGTGTGTGATCGTCTAAATTGGACTTGTTCTTTGAGTGGATTTCGATTTTCTCTATGCACAAACAAAGCCAAAATGAAGCACTTGATAACTGCTCCTGCTGATGATGATGTCCTGGTGGATTTGAGTGATAGTGTGGATGAGATAGTGTGAATGTGTGTGGTTAGTTAGATTGTTGGATGAACTTAAAACGAGCTTATCATGACATGTGTGGTGTATCCTTATCGACGACCGCAAGCATTTAACTAAACTTAAGGCAAGTCTTTAAAGTCTTCTTTCTACCTTCGTATAACAAATAAATCGAAATTTCTGCCTGTTATTCTAATCGGATTTATATATTTTTACGTAATAGCGTATTCGTGGGTGTTAAGCCCATCTCCTTCATACACAAATCAATAAATTAGCCTTTAAATTAAGCCCAATATTTAGTATAGACTCTAATTTTAGCTTAACATAATTACAAAGAAAAATAATAATAATAATAATCATAATATTGATGCTTAAACACAGACTCAATTAAATAATAATGATTATGCTTACACTCGCTTTCGAACACAATGAGAAATTATTGGCATGCACTTTTGAGGAAAATTTACGTACTCTCTCAGCCACAATAATCGTGATTTGCATAATGAATGGGATGTAAAGTGAAGTGGTATTATCCTACACACATGCATTGAGTTTTGTTTTACTTATTTTTGTTTTTTCTCTCTTTATATATATACATAACTATAAGGGGGAAAAGTGTGGAATTGCTGATTAATTAAAGCCGGCTACTGAGCACCTAAGGCAACGATAGGCAGGGCAGTGAAAGCTTGATTGGAGGAGGCACCTTTTGCTAGCCAAGTGATACACGAGTCAATGACTCGTACCCAAAAGCACAGGCGGAAGGCTCTTTGATACCCATTCTCGGGATGAGGAACATTGGGATATAATGTTGAGATTTGTGAGTTGAACAGGAGAATGATTCCTTACACTTTTGTCGAGAACGCATCTTCCCAAAGCCAACATTGCTGATATGGCAAGAGTGGCTTTAATTATAGTTTGCAAGAAAAAATTAAACACAATAACAAAATAAACTAAACAATGTACTAGATATATGAACTTGAAAATTACATCAATTTTGTACAAAATGGTTTTGGTTTCTCAACAAATATTCCACATTGATTTGTTTGTGAATTATATACTACTTTTGTTGTAGAAAAAAATAGAGAACAACAAAAAGAAATCATCAACACCGGTTAAACAATGATTAGTTGGTGAAAGTTTGTTGTTTTAACAATCAATTACATTAGAGAATCAAGTTCATAGCTCTTGGATGTGTTGGTGAATTTCCAGTTTTGAAATTGTTTACTGCTCATATTGAAAAAAATGTACAAAATATAGAAAAGCAAAGGACAAATCCTAGCTCTTAGACATAAACAATGATTCAATGATTATTGATTAATTGGAAAATGTTGATTTTGTTGTTGAAACGATTTACAGTGTTATAGAAACAAATGTATTGCTTTTGGGCACGAAATCATAAGAAAATTATTCGTTAGCTCAACAAATGCTCCACATTGATGCGTTGGTGAAATTCCAGCTTGGCAATTAGTTACTGTTTTTGTTGTTGAAACAGTTACAAACTAAAGAACACTCATCAAAAGGACACAAAGATTTTCAATTTCCTTTCTTTAACACGATCGATATTTGGATATATGTGTGTATGTATGCAGCTGTAGTATATAGGTTATATATGTAAGTAGTGTATATATGCCGTGGGGGTTAATTGTATATATGTAAAAATAAATATATGTATATGCATGTAGCTAATGTTGATATATAACATATATAGTTATTTATCGGATTTTATGTTCATTGCGGTTCTTGTTTTGATTTCTTTAACTGTAACGAAGATGATGGATTCTTGTGGTTCTTGGTTGTTGTTGTTGTTGTATCGTAATCGTAATCGTTAACGTTATCGAAGGCATATTAATCGGTAATCAGTAGATATTTCCATATATATATATATATAAATGTATGTATGTTTCGGTATATATTATCAGTAGTATTATTATCATAATAGATTCACTTGAACCAACCCAAAAATGTTGATTTGAGAGTGCGTACCTTGCCACTATCACTGTCGCCGCCGCCATAGCTGGAAGTGGGCGTGGTGGCCATGATGTCGCCCTGATCCCGACCGAACGTTCGGCCACCGGAACCCCCCGTCGAGGCACTACTATACCGTCGGGACACACCGCTGCCGGAGTTCGACGCCGCCGGCGAGTGTGCAGTGCGTCGGTGGTGATACGGTGCTCCCGTACCATTACCGCTTAGCTGGAGATCCTTGCGCAGCGTCGAACTTAGCTGGGCGGCAATGGAACCGGAGGAGGTGGAGTTGTTGACGGAGAGGGCGCCCTTCATTCCCTCCGGCGACTGCTGGGCACGTGACAGGGAGTCCAGATGCCGCACCCTCGAGCTGATCGTATCCCGCTTCAGCTTGGGCAGCGGCGAATTCTGGAGGACACGTGGGGACGGAGTCGTTGCGATTGTCGGCTGGCTGCGGTTGCCAGTCGATCCGGATGAGTAGGGTGTAGTGGCCAGCGGTATTGACGACGATGTCGAGCTAGTGCGACTCGTGTTCGTGCTCAGCGAATGATTGGATGCGGACGTATCCGCTCTCCGTAAGCTCTGCAGGTTCCCAGTGCTCCTGCTTAACGAGGACTTGCTGCCATATGAGGTGCTGGTGGTGGATGGTGGCGACCGTCCCGCCGTGGAAGGTCTTCCCGTAGGGGGTTTGCCCACGAAATATGCTGCCGCCTTGCTGCCCGGCAGCGGAATCTTGCTGGGCTTACTGGCGCTCCCGAACTTGCGGAATGCGCTTTGCCGTGATGGCGGAGTCGTCGTCCCCTCAAACGGACTCACGCCGCCCACACTGGTGCTCATCACCCGTGCGGCTATGGTACTGCTGGGCGTACTGCTGCCCATAGGGAGGCAGGGACTCGCATTGATAATCGTCTTGTTCGGCGTACCGTTGGGTGTCCGATGCGCCTGATTCTCGTGCTCGTGCGCCGACTCCGTACTGCTACTGTGCTGCTGTAGTTCATCCATGGCCAGCGGCACCATAGCCTTCATGCTGGGCGTACTAATTTGAGTGACTGGCGGGGCGGGCATGGCCGTCGAGGCGGAGTCCACGGAGTCTGAGACTCCACGACGACTCAACATCAGCGTGGTGGAGGCCGAGGAGCGATTGGTCTCGTAGTCGTGCTGCGACGAGTGCAGATACGAGTTGGTGGTGCTGCTGGTGTTTGCCTGCAGGCGGGACTCCACCAGCCGAAGCTGCGCCTTGGTGCCCTCCAGCTCGATGCTCTTCTCCTCAAGCTGGTACCGCATATGCTCAAACTCCTCGCTGCTCTTGTCCAGCCGCTTGGCCAGCAGCGTCTTGGACTTGCTGGACGTGTCCAGCTTCTGGGCCAGCACTTGGTTCTGAACGGTGAGGGTGAGGAGGTGACGCTGCAGCTCCAGTACGTTCGTCTCTAGGAGAATGGCCCCGAATCGCTTGGAATCGGTCAGCCGGCACTTGGCATTACGCGCACCCGGCGTGCTGACAATGCCATCAAGGCGACCCAAGGGCTGCTGCTGCTGTTGCTGCTGCTGGAGCTGCTGCTGCTGCTGCTGTTGCTGCTGCTGTTGCTGCTGCTGTTGCTGCTGCTGCTTCTGCTGCTGCTTTCTGGATGTTATATCACTGCCTGAGCTTTGATGGAATGCTTCCTGCGCTGGCTGATCGAAGACGACGACCGGCTGGAATGTGTTGTTGCTGCTGCCTTGGCGACTTTGGCCGCCATTGGAGAGCACCGTGTTGGCTGAGGATAGAAAGTTGCGTTGACTGGAGTACTCCGACTGGCTGCCACTGCAACAAATAAAAGTTTTGTAAGTTAAGAACTTAGTTTTCCTGTTAAATTTCCATTTTCATACCTGGAAGAGCTCTTGCTTTGCTGCTGTTGCATCTGCTGCAATTGCTGCACCCGTGAGCTCAGCTCCAGCTTCTGTGCCATTGCCAGCTTTAGCTGGTCCTCGAGATCCTTTTTCACACCTATCAGCTCCTCCACCTGGTCGCTCATCTTGGCCGCCTTGATGCGTCCTGTTAGCGTCTCCGCCTCCATTTCGGCCAATTTGTCCAGCAGTCGATCGCGCTCCTTGCGCAGCTGCTTGATATCCTCACGATTCAGTCGCTCCACCTGCTCACGGAATTGTTGCGGCGTCATCCCATCCTTGCCGGGGCCCTTGTTGCCCTCGCCTCCTACCTTCTGGGCATCACCCTGCTGGCGCTCATAGCTCTGCAGCTGCTCCACCTCGTCGCGTAAGCGATTCGACTTGCGATGTATGACGTCCAGCAGGTTGAGCAACTCATCGTCCGATTCGGCACAGCTCAGGCGATTCGCTGCTATGGCCACCTATTTAAAATTGAAATCAATTAGCTAACAATTTTAATAAAGATTACATTAAAGACTTATACCGTCATAGCACCGTTGGTGGAGGAGGCACTGTGGCCCTCCTTGGAGGAACTGGTCTCCGTTGAGAATCCGGAGTCTTGGACAACACTGCCGTTGTTATTCTCTCCGCTCTTTGGCTCTTTCTTGCCGCTGTGCGAATTGCTGCGGCTGCGTGTCAGCGACGAGGAGGACGCCTCCGCTCCAGAGGAGGCGGCAGCTCCCGACGACGCTGACGACGTGGACGGTTCCTTGTGCGATAGTTTGCGTTTCATGCGTATGCCAGGCTCCCATTCGCGTCTGCTGCAAATATATAAAAGTTATTTATTATTGGTTTAGGAACTGTGAGGATCTAGATCTCACCTGGTGGCTAATGAGGAGCTGCCGCCACCCACCGAGTGACTGCCACCCATGGCCCCCACCGAGGAGGTGGGCGTCGAGGGTGTGGCAGACATCGAGGCCATTTTGTGCTTGAGATCGGGAAACGTTTCAATGACCAGATCCCGGAACTCCAGCAGGGCGCCCACCTCATGCTGCAGCTCCTGTAGCGACTTGGTCTGCTCGCTGTGGATGTGATGGCTCCCGTAGCTGTTGCTATACGGCGTATGGTGGCTCAGGTGGTGGTGGTGCAGGTGATGGGGATACGTGGCCCCCACCACCACGGTGGCCGTAGGCGAGGCGGCGGAGACAGTACCTACCGCCGTCCCGCTGGCCATTAGATGCGGATGATGATGGGCGGCACTGCTCATCGGCAGGCATTCCATGGCCCCGCTGGCCAGGTGAGAGGTGCGTAAAGGTCCGTTGACGCTCCCACTTCCGGTTCCGTTGCTCTGACTGTGGTGGTGGCTAATGCAGCTTCCGTCCGTTTTGCTGATGCCATGCGTTGTGGGTAGCTCAAAGCCTTCATTCTGCAAAAATAAAATTGATAAGAACATTAATAACTTATGCAGTCAGGTTTGCTCAGAAATTACATTCTTAAAGGTACATAAAGCCATTTTAATAGTTTATTCTCAACAGTATTGTCAATGCTTGCTGAGGTATTGAAAGAATCTTTTACAAGGCCAGGGTTACCACTTAACCTTCGCTTTTGGTTTTCCAACACTTGGTAAACAATAAATTATTATTATCGAATTTATCCATTAACAAGTACATTTTTTATCAATGAAAACGTTTGAGAAGGGAGGCAGATTATTCAATTTGTAAAAACATTGAACGTTATGAAATATTCTATGGCTCATTAATTTACATAAATTGTTTCCCAACACTCTAATTTATGTCTTTTCATTTTTTCCCCTCCCTTGGAGGAGATCACGCACATGTAAGTCGATTTAAATCCAATGAATCATTGTTATTTGGATTTCGATGGTCAAGTGCGATGGGGCCTCAAGATCAGTTTACATTGCCACAAGTCATTATCGCGGGGCTTTTACGTAAGTAAGGGTCGCCGTGGGACTGATAATTACTCGAGAGAGAAAACACCGAGCATTGCGTTGCATCGGTGGAATTGAATCCATCGTCATCTGGTGGTGTTGGTGGTGCTCTGGTGGGGCAATCGATGCACCACTGGGGCTCGGGAGCAGTGCAAACGATTAGTGAATGACACACAAATTATGATTGATGAATTGCAGAGTGCTCTCGCAGCTCGAAGCGAGTGGGGAGCGCCCGCTGGCCGGCGACCCGTGGAGAAAACTGTAGCAAAAGTGCAGCTTAATGCGGCTTAAAGTCGCAGCAGCAACATGCAACGTGCACAGTGCAACATCTGTAGCTGCAACACTCTACAATCGATGCAGCAATTTGTGACAATCATGCTGTGTGTGCTGGCTTGGCCCAGGCCATGACTATTCGCCAAGTCAACGGACTGTGAGCCAACTTCAAACTCCAAACTCCAAACTAGAACAGGCCGCAGATGGTCGAACCAAGTAAAAGTAGTTTTTCTTTTTGTATTTTTCTATTTATCTATGTTTCCCTCTTTTCTGGCATCTGCTCTGGAAAAGAAACGGGAACCTACAGAGAGACAAAAACAAAAAGCTAACCCAGAAATATATTATATTCTATACTCAGTAGAAATAATACATTTCAAAAGGTTTGCATGTTTTATTAAGTTTCTTGAGACCAAGCTCTTCCTGATCATTATCCGTTTCTGATCCTTGATCAATGAATACGATTAGATTACCCCTAGAAACAGTTGAGAATTTGAATGCAACGCAGAGTCACATTATGGTTTTCGGACTTGATTCCTTGAAATATTAAAATTGTATTTGTTTGAGTAGGATTTATACAACAGATCGCTAAATATTTGGTTTTTTTTTTTTTTTTTTTTTAATATTGCATATCTATGATTTTTTGTTATAAAAGCAAAGCTATTTTACTTTAAAATTTGATAAATTCAGCCACAAAATTATAATGTGAACCCAAGGGTAATTTATGAATCTTAGCATTTTTATTATAATAGAACCTTTACTTAACATATTTTTGTTTGGTTTAGAGATTAAGCTAACTATGATCTCGAGTTGGTTAGATCCGTTCACAATAATATATACATTCACATTCATATATTCATTTTATTTCTTAACTTCTCTCCTCTCTATTTTCTTTATTTATCTCCCCATTCAAGTGTACAAAATTGTTTCCAGTGCACTGACGATTTGTTTGTCAACCGGGTGGAAAGCTTTCACTGAACGAGAATGTTTCTCGAGCGACGGCAACTCAATTGATTGGCAAAATACTTTCACATGCAATAAACATAAATTTGCCTGGCAGCAGCAGCGTTGGTTTTGTCGGCCGGCTTTGGCTATTGATCAAACAAACGTTGGAGAGTGCCTCTTACATACATATGTACATATGTATTTACATCGCAATGGTATATGTGGTCTTTGGCCAGGTTAAAACCAGGCAACTGGGTTGTTTGTTCTCGGCAAGAAAAAGTAAAAAGAGAGCTGAGTGAGCTGGGAGTAAGTAAAACAAAAAAGAAAAAGAAATAACTCAGCTGATTGCATGCACACAACAAATGACCGAGAGATGGTCGGAAATGTTGGTCAGCCGCCTAATGGCAAATTCATTGCAAATGAAGCATGAAAATTGGCCCACATTCACATGACATGGCTGCTGCTAGCTGGGCCATTCCCATTATTTAATTGCTAATTAACACAACAGGGGAAAGATGGAGGGGAAGCCCAGGAAGCATAACTCATAATTTCATGGCTTGCATAATTCGCGCTGCACTTTTCCTTCCATTTAATTTTTGTTGTTGTTTTGGGATTTTATTTTTCTATTTCATTGAGGTTTTGTTTTTTTTTTCGTCCGACTTGCCTGTGGAGCGTGGCGAACATCAAAGCATGGGAAGTGGCAGAGAAGTCACATTGAAGATCGTGTAATTATATAGCAAAATCCATTGTCAGCCACGAAATTGAAACCGAACAATTCAAACCCTGACTGTCGAGTCTCAACGAAAAGTGGAGAGCAAAAAACCCTAGGCTCAATGTCGGTGGACTGTCAACCACTCGAGCATCGCGATTGGCTTTATGGTTTCTGAGTTTCATTGCTCAATTAACTCGTGGATCTGGCCTCTTGGCCCACGGCCCGAAACTAGCCTCACAAATATCAATCCTAAGCTTTTCTATCCACGATATGCACAATGTATTTCAGAGACACATATGCAAATCACTCGCATTCGACTGTGTAGACTCTGAACACAAGTGCTTCCTTGTCACTCCAAAGAGGCGTCTGTCACTGTTTTCAAGTTGTATCTTCTCAAACTGCGCCTAGACAGAGATATGAATGGCTCAGTTCGAAAGAGGCGTGGAACAGTGGAGATTTATTATCATCGCGTTTGGGTTTTATAATAAAGTTGGAGTTTATACTGAGATTTATCAAAGATGAGCCTACGTGACATTTGTAAAGCCGCTTTAATGGTATTTAACCCGATAAATAGACCCCAAGCAGGGAAGTCTAACATAGGAAATTGGTCCTTCGAGCCGGATATCCTTTTCATCGTCAACGAAAAGCAGACAATACTTTTGGCAAAGAGTTTTAAAAACTCTTACTTAAGACCCTTTGACTTTACCATTTTTTAAATGAATTTAAATTTAACCTTTGCTTGATAAATTAAAGCCATCGTTACCACTGTGTGTGCCCCCACCAGACCAATCAACTCCACATCGTCATCGCTGGGAGCGTTGTGCCGCCACTGTCGTGGGCGCAAACTATCATCTCGGCGCAGCTGCCACGCATTGCTGATTCTTCGGCTCCTCAAGTTTTATTACTCGTCGCGGCGGCAATTGGGTTGATCATCATGAAAAATAAAAACTTGGAGATTCAGCTTCAGCTTGAGACCCCAAAACGCACTTGGCCTGGGCGACAGAAAGAGAGCCGCTCAATTAGGCTGCCCACCATTCGAGACTCGACTCGTCGCCACACTAGCCATCCAGGTTTTTGGGCTTGCCGCACAACCAACACAACATCTAACCCATCCTATACAGGTAGTAAGTACTATACTATACTATACTATATTTATAACTTCCCACCGAAACAGCAGGAGATTTTCCACAAAGTGGGTGGGGAAAGAAAAGCTCTGTTGGCAGTTCCTCAGAGTGCCAGACACCAAAGCAATTAACAGACAGAAATTCGCAATAAATCCAGGCAACAAACTGTTCTATAAATCACAAGAACGTTTGCTTATAGTGTGAAACCCCCGTTTTGATATAGAACTGGAAATTAATCGGACAAACAATGACAAATGCGAAAACGCTGCTTTCGCGAATTTGTAATCGTAATCGGTATTCTTTCCATTGTGTGTTGCTGTTATTTATTTTCTTTTGGGGGGTTTCGAGTGGTTGGCATTTTGTTTTGTTTGTTTGATCGATTTTTTTCACCATTTTCTTTTTCTTTTGAATGTATGAGGAATGGGATTTTCTTCTTTCTGTTACGTATACGTAATATTTTTAGAGAATTTCTAAGCCTCAGCCAAGTGCTTTCACTGCACTCAGTTTGATCTTGCCGCCTTGTTTTGCATTTAGTTTCCGTAATCCCATAATATACTAATTGCTCACTAAAAGGGTTGTAATTAGTCATTGTCATAGGTTTACAGGAAGGGATGGGGAAAATAGAGAGACAGTTCTCAGACAGACAAAACAAGAATCAATAACAACCACTAGTGATGCAGTTATAAGCCAGAAAGGTTGTGGTTATGATCTTCTTGTTCTTCAACAAACACACATGATTTGCTTTCGTAATCTCGAAAGAGCGGCGTCAAACTCTTTTGACGTTAAATTTAAGTGGATTTGTTTTTGTTTTTGTTCGGAAGCTATAAAGGCATATCAATAGCTAAGAAAATATATACAAAAATCCAGCTTCAGTCTTGTCTATTGCCAATGCAACATGTGTTCAAGAATTTGCTCATAAAGCAGCGATCATTAAGTTTAAGAAAAAACAAATCTATAAAAATCAAAGACTCCAAAAAGCTGCTTTTTATGATGGCAATTTCACACACTGAAATTAAAGATTTTCTAATACTATGAGATCAACTTGTGATAACAATTATTTTTATATTATTTATTATTTTTTCCTGGCTTGCTTCGCTACCATTACTCGTTTGATGTACGTTTTCTTATTATTTTTGGCTATGACTGTTATTTGGCGTGAAGAAATTTCTATTTCTATGGTTGTTTGTTCGATGGATTTAATTAAAGTTTGCCATGCAAGCACCGTCTAAGCTATTTTTGAAGTGCAAGAGCCGTTGGTTATTTTCGTTGCAATTAGTGATGGGGTTTGCATAACAGTCGAATTTGTGTGTGCACTTGTGGGAATGGATGGGCCAGTTGCTCGGACCCGAAACTCGTATAATTATGCATGTAAAACGCCCGGCCCGGCGAGGCGAAACTGACGGGACTCAACGGTTTATTACGGATTG